TTCTACTCTATTTTTTTCCGAACTTTTTAAAAATGTCCTTGTGGAGGCCTTCCTGTTTTCATTTGATTTTAAAGGATATGATCTCGTTACAGGAGATTTAGGATACTTTGATGACAGCGCTTGTAAGGGGAGAAGCTGATAAGATGCAGAATCTTGGGAACATTGACTGAAGTGGTTAAGTGCTCTGACCTCCTCATTGATTTTGGGATGCGTATCAGCCCTAAAGCGGACGGACAAAATCTCAGAAAAGATGCAAAAGCTCAGTTGCTATCTCCTAGTTTGAGCTACAGAGGGCGTCCGCGATATATTTAGATGTCTGCTGTGTCTAGTGTATTGCGCAGCAGTTCACTTTCCTGGTATGACTGAAACTTGTTGCCATTAAAGTTGAAGGAAATGGGGTTTCAGGTATTCAAATACCGTTACCTTCATAACTTCGTCTGTATGTCGTGGAACTTCATCATCATCATTATCAACATAGGACCAGGCATTACTGCGTAACGGTCCGAGTTGCCACACCTCATATCAGCACATCAAGTAAAAAGGTAGTGAGGTGAAGGATGAAGATAAGTGAATGCAGTCAAAAGAAATATAAAGTACGAGAAGAAAGGAAAGAGGAGTGACAAAATAGTGAGATTCGGTATAGCGTTGTTAAGATGAGGATAATGTGTATACATCTGCGCCACTGACTTCGGTTCTGAGCCATATCACCTAGGGTCTCCAACCACTGGTTCCTCTTGTCCCGTGGACCCCAACCACCTAGTCTGCATCGTCCTACATGGCTTAAACCAACAGTCAGAGACTTCATACATTGGTGCCATGTTTTAGTCTGGCCACCTCGGGCCTTTTTCCAGCCTGAACCCACCTCAGCCAACATTGTGTGACGAGGCAATCGGTGACTAGGCATACGTAGTACGTGTCCCAACCATCTCAGTCGATGAAGGTTCACAACCTCGTCGACTGACTTACCTCTTCTCCCTAAAACTCTACACCTAACTTCTGTTACTCACATGGTGACACCACGGAATACGTCCTATACTACGAAGGCAACGGTGGTCAAACACCTGTAACCTTCTCATGTCTTCCACTTTCAATGGCCATGTTTCACAGCCATACAGTAGAACAGAGCGGACTGCTGTGCAGTACACGCGACCCTTAATAGACAAACGAATATCACGGCGGCGCCATAGGTGGCGCAAATTGGCAAAAGCCAATCGAGCCTTTTGTATCCGTGCAGAAATCTCATCGGCAACTAACCCACCGGGTTGATCCTACTTCCCAGGTAAGTGAAGTGGTCAACACACTCAACCACTTCACTCTCTATTGTTAACCGCGGTACCGCTGAAGACCAGTCCTGGAGCAAAAATTTGCATTTGGGTGGTGAAAATCGCATCCCAAACATTCTCAAATTCCCACTCAAAGTGTTCAGAAGACTCTGCATCTTGTCAGCGTCTTCACCTAACAGGACTATGTCATCTGCATATTCTAGATCTAAGGAAAATTCACCTGTGATTGGGTCAACGTCTTTGTAATTAGGTGACGAGAGGGAAACCTCCATAAGAATATCTATGATAAAATTAAATAAGAATGGGGATAGTGGGCATCCTTGACGGACACCACTTGATGAGTATAGCTCCCTGGACAACTCACCATAGGCTCTAACATGCCCACAAGTGTTCGAGTAGAGAGCTTTCAATAAGGTGATGTACTTACTAGGCACGCCTTTCAGTGACAGACACTGCCATAAGACTTCTCGATCAACGGAGTCAAATGCCGCCTTCAGGTCGAGAAATACAGCTATTGTCGGGCGTCTGTAAGCATGCCTATGTTCCAGGACCTGGCGCAGTGTGAATATTTGGTCGATACATCCACGGCCAGGTCTAAAGCCTGCCTGGTTTTCTCGGGCTTGCTGTTCCCGAGCTCCACTCAGGCGTCGGAGAATTATAGAACTTAGGATCTTAGACACTATGTTTGTCAGGCTGATTCCTCTGTGGTTATCACAAGAGGACTTCTCGCCTTTCTTGAAGACTGGGATGATGAGTGACTTAGACCAGTCGGAGGGGATCGTATTTGATTCCCATATACTGGCTAACACTTCCGTTAGCCTGACTAAGAGAACTCTACCACCATTCTTGTATACCTCAGCAGGTAGTCCGTCTGGTCCTGCTGCCCTTCCCGTTTCAGGCTACCTACCGCTTTCTCAACTTCTTCTAGTGTTGGGGGACCTGTCTCTATGTCCCATTCAGGGTCCGACTGGATAGCGGGCAGCGCAATGGTGGCTGGAGGCCAGTTAAACTGTTCCTCAAAGTGTTCTGCCCATCGTCCCAGTCGCCTTCCCTGCGAGTGAATCGCCGATCCGTCCTTCTCCGCTATAACCTCACTAACTGTTGTTGACCATTTCCCCCCAGTCTCCTTAATAAGTCTAAATAACTGTCTACTGTTACCGATCGCCGCTGCCTTTTCCATCTCTTTAGCCTTTGCTGCCCACCACTGTTCACGATCGTTGCGCAGACTTTTCGTCAGTTTTTTTTAAGTTGCGCTCGCTCTTCATTGTACTCAGAGCCTGCAGGGATGCATTCACGTGCATCCATTAGTTTGGAAGAAGCTGCTGATATCCACTGGCTCTTTTTAGCCATTATCTTGGAGTCGGCTACAGTCTCCAGTGCTGCTTTTACAGTAGACTGAAGATGGCACCAAGCTTCTTCTGGATGAGTGACAGTCTTTTGTTCCGATAACTGCCTAGCCAACTTCTCACTGAACACGGCTTTGGTGTTTTCGTTGTCCAGCAGAACTCGTAGTGGTTTTGTTGCCAAATTTTTTCTACGTCCATTGAGACGCAGGCATATACGTGCTCGGACCAACGCATGATCGCTGTCCAAACACGTACTCCAGAAGGAGCGGCAGTCTTCCACCGATCCTCTCCAGCGATGACTAATAGCAATGTGGTCTATCTGTGTCCATCGCTGAGTCGAGCTCGGTGGACGCCAGGTCAGACAGTGCCTTTCTTTATGTCTGAAATTTGTGCTGGCTAAAAATAGGCGGTTATCTGAGCATAGTTGTAATAGGCGATCACCGTTATCTGTACGTTCAGCTGGGATTCCGAAAGTGCCACCTAAGTGCCTTTCTGCCTCACTCAGTCTACCCACCTGTGCGTTGAGGTCACCTGCAACAACCACTACGTCCGAACGTTTGGCTTTCGAGAGGAGGTTAGACAGTTTATGGTAGAACTCGTCCTTCACTTCATCCGAACTACAGTCAGTGGGTGCGTAAGCAGAGATTACAAAGAGACAACGGCGAGTCTCACTATTCCTTTTAGTTCTCACTGTGCCGTTCAGCCTCATAGCGCAGAGGCGACTATCAACTGGGATCCAGTCTAGTAGTGAGTTTTCTGCCCTGGTGCTTAATGCTATACCTACACCTGCAAGACCACGAGAGCTAGCTATCGAATCTCCAGAAACTCGAAGGGTGAATTTTGCAGATTCACCAGATTGGTCAGGAGAGGTCAGGTGAATAACCACACTTGGGTCCTGTATGCGTGTCTCACAAACACAGCACACATCCATGCCCGAGTTGCTAGAGTCTTTGCCAACGAAGCCTGTTGGCCAATTTGACGGAGGGTGCGGACATTGAAGGCTCCAATATGTAATTTGGAGCGTGGTTTAAGGAGACCAGGGATGCTGTTCTGTGGACTCAGATCGTTGTCGAAGGCTGCAGAGGTAGGAGAAATTGAAGATGATGCAGCATCATTAATTAAGAGACGTGAAGGAAGATTAGAAGGTAATGATGGAGGAGGAGGATAGCAGTCAGAAGAAACTTGGGTGCTGACAGAGTTGTGAGGGCGGTTGACACTTCCCGGCTGCCCACACCGTGGAAGGCTATTTCTTCTTAAGGTACCTGAAAGAGATTTGTGTGACCGCAGAGCCCATCGGACATCTGCTTGAGGCCTGTCACACCCAGCCTTTTGAGTATGATTATTTTGAATTTTTGTTGTTTTGGGGCCGGATGGTCGAAAGGAAACGACAAGTGAACCAACACCGCCGGCCCGGCAGACCGTGGGGCGTGGTGGAGTGTGTTATTTTTGGGGCCGACCTTTTCTAACCCCCCCTTCCACTGAGAAGGCAGCATCAGCTTGGCACTGCTGGTCATCCAAGGGAAACACCTTACTGCTGTCACACCCCATCCAGCTAGCAGCAGTACGACTTCGCCCTCAGACCCCCATCATAGTGTAGCAATTTATACTATAACGGTAACTGCTTTTCGTCTAACCACTACCCAACAGACCTTTCTGGTATGGTAGGACCTCGAGGGAACAAGCGTTCCACCAGCATAGCTCGTTGGGTCATTGTGATATGCAAGCCCGACCACCACGTCAAGTTAGCAGCTATCCGTCGGGAACTTCAATAAACTAGAAGTCAGGTGTGAAGTTTTGGGTAAGAGTGGTTAGTTGGTGAGGTTGTCACCGTCTATCCCGATACAAAATGACAGCCGAAGTAGGTTTGGACTGGAAAAAGGTTAAAAGCAACCAGAATATAATGCAATGTCAGTTCATAGTCTTTGACTGCTTGTCTAAGCTGCGTGAGGAAATGTAAACTTCGTGATTAGAGTTCACATGACAGCCAAAATCAGTGGTCGGTGACTTCAGATTATATGATTAGAAATCGATCGTCGTATAGAATTCTTTTTATACCCTATTTTCTTTTCACATGACTTCGTACACCTTCTGATAACATTTTTTCACCACATCATTTTCTGTCTTGTTACCTTGTATCTTGGTGTTCTAATTTAAGGTGTAGTAACTTGAACCGTTATGTAGTAATGACTAGTTTCATTTTGACAATAGATGAGTGATGTAATTTGTGTTCTTATTGTTTTTAGCTTTGACTTTTTGTGCTGTTACAGGTGCTCATGCTGGCTAATTAAGCGTCATCAAATATACCCACTTCACTTGTTACCAAAAAAATACGAATTTGGTCTCTCAGGCTAGCGGGATTACGAAGGCTTCAATGGATTTCCCCGGCTGTACAGAAAACAGTCATGCTCCATTTAAAGACCAGATTGACGATGAAACTGTCATGTTTGACTTGGACATGAGTGTCGATGTTTTGCCTGACACACCCTCGAAGAATGACGATGGTGATTCTGATACACAAAAAACTCGAGTAATACTGTTGTGATATTTTAATAGATTTTATTTAGACCAGTCAGTCGGGCAATTCTCTTTCTATCATACCTTCAAGGCGAGAGAATAAGTTAAAGTTTGATAGTGCATCTCGTTCCACTTCTTTCTCGGGGCTAACTGATAGTGTCAATTTGGAGGATATCTTTGAGTACGATTGGGCAGATAGTGATTCTGAATCCCTGGTGGAAAGCATGAGAAAGAGTCATACATAGTTCAGGAAATTCTTGCTGACTTTTTGAAGGTAGGTATCTAATTGTTTCACGTATGTCATCTTATTCTCGTTTATAAAATACTCACTTTGATGATACAGGGATTTTAATAATGACGGCTGTTGTGTAACTGCTCGAATGTATAAGGCCCGTTTGGCGTATACCAACGTACGTCATCTGCAGCGCGTCACATATCCGACTACCTGTTTAAAGATCGAGCATAATGTACTGCAGTTCGTTCTGTCCTGTTATACGGGTGTGAGACGTGGCTATTAAAAGTAGAAGACATAAGGCTATTACAGGGTTTTGATCACAGGTGTCTTCGTAGCATTGCTCGCGTTTGATGGAATCACCGCGTGAACGATGTTGACGTCAGGCAAAGGGTACTGGGAAGAAGAGGTAAGTCAATTGATGAAGGTGTGAACCTTAGTCGACTGAGGTGAGATGAACATACGTTGCTCATGCCGAATCACCACCTAACTCAATGCACCATGCTAGGGTAAGTTGGATTAAGTTGGAAGAGGTTTGGAGTACCAAGAACAAGACGTGGCATCAGTCGATGAAGTCCCTGACTGTTGATCTGAGCCGTGTAGGGAGACGTAGACTGCCTGGTTGCTGTCCCTGAGATGATAGAAACCAGTGGTTTGGAATTCTTGCTGACATGTCTAGTGATTGAGGACAATGATACAGACGTGTTCACTCCTTTTAGTCTTCTAAAACTTGAATATTCGCACTAACCTTTATCCTCAAACTGCTTATTCTGTCACACAACTTTGTCTACTTTGATATCACTCTGGTTCTATGCACCTGTTGTTTGTATACTACTGTGGAGTGTGGCAACCTAAACCGACGAATTGTGTGCGAGCTTCTGCTTTGATTCTGTTTCTCTGTCTATACTCTTCTCACCGGTATCATAAAACTTTCAGTTATGTTGTTTTCTTAGACATTCCCATAGTCATTAGACAGTTCCTTCCACAGCCAGTTAAATGGAACCCCATATTCCGACATCTGTCAATCTGTTTATACCTGAACTGGAGTCGTCTGTTCTCAGAGAAAATGAGATTCCTTACATCTATTTCATATAGGTAACCAGGCGATAGTATTTGAATATCCCTCAGTTGGAATGGATGTTGAGTGATATCTAAGTAACCAGTCATTCATTGATTGATAATTAGTAGATGAAAGTATGCAGTTCAAACTACTGAAATTGTTAGTCATGAGCCGCAATAACTATTCCGTTTTGTCTGATGCTGAAATGCATTGTGATATGTTTATCGAGATATCGTGCTGAAAGGGTTTTAGAATTCGGAGAGGTTTTCACTCTTGATAGAATAAAATAATATTCTAGATGGGATTCGTGTAAAACTGTAGGATTTACATTTGTGAATCCAGTGAAACCACTAAACGGTAATCATAGTTTGCACATCGATTCACTCACACTAAATTCGGTAGTCGATCATCCCTTTTTCAGTATGAAATGTCTAGAAACACTTCTTAACTATGTACTAACAATCCTTAGATTTTAGACGACTTCTCGTTCTTGTAACCAAATTATAAGTTGACGTTCTTTAAACTTAGGTATGATACAGTGGATTTCGTACGTTTTAGCTCATAACTTCATGTACTACTGCGGGGGTGTATTCTCTGACAGAAACTTATGGATATTTACTTTGACTTCTTCGTCAATTAGTTCCAAATGAAATGTATACATGAAGTTAGTTTTTTGTTGAAGCTTCATAGAAGATAAACATTTCTGTATCCTCTAGGTTCTGTGGGTGAAAATCAAGACAATTTACTTATTACTCAAATAACAGATAGCTTCATCGGCTAAGAATAGCACCTTGTTTTTATTTGTTTTCTGTTGTTATTATAACATAAAAACTAATGAACTAAAGGACGTGGATCTATTTTTGTAATACAGTTTTGAAAATGTAACTGATTGGTTTAGGTATTGAACTTTCAACTAGTGGGTAATTGGATAAAATACAGTCTTACTTATGGGTTTGGACGACCGGGTATTCCAAATAGGTGCAACCTTTTACCTTTTGCCTGAACCTGCGAGTGGTTACCAGGCTGCGTTAATTATACCTGCTTATTAAGGATACCTTCATCTCGTTGCGGTAGTTGAATACATGAATGGTTTTATTTCCCACCCTATTTATTCAGGGGGTAAGCGTCATAATAATCATTCGAACTAATTCGAATAAGAACCTCCTTAATTCTCTGTGCAAGTCATTCTTGTGTTGATTTCAACTACTGTATTGTTTCTCTTCAAAATACTTGAGTAATTAAATGTTTTCTTTAATGTATCAGATTAAATCCTTTAAGCGAAAATACCCCGATCTAACTAGGCGTGCAATGGATGCTTACGAACGATCCTGGTTACAACAAGAAGGGATCGTTCCTGTGGTCGCGCAGATCTTGGTCTGACAGCACTCAAAACTGATGATGTCATGAAGTTGTTGCAACAAGACTATCCAGAAGTGCATGTTGCTCTAACTGATTTATTTCGTCGACGAAGATTCAAAGCAACGGTTGAAAGTCAAAAGCGTCAGTATGAAGTGAGTGGTTTTCCTCTTTTCAGTATAACGGTTTCTTTTTAATGTAATTTTGAGAGCTGTTAAAGTATTCATTCTCACAGAAATGATTATCAGCAGCTTAGCATATCACTTACCTCTTCAGAGATTCGGGAATACTAGAAAGCACCTACTACACTCAAAAACACTGATCCCTTCAATTATTTAATGATCACAAATCTATTCGAAGGGAATGCAATTATTCTTATTAGACCAATGGCAACGGTAGCTCTGAACAACCACTCCTGATTATGTATGTTTGAAACATGATTTGTTCTGACTGTTTATATTGAACAAGAGTATATATTACATCCGTATTACTACACTACAACTATATTGTATTGATGCGGCTGTCGATGCCAAGTATTTTAAACATAATCTGATGGTAAATTAAAGTGAATTTGGGCTACCGAGTTTTGTGTGCTCATGAAATTCTTATACATATATCTTGGTACCTTACAAATAAACACTTTTGAAACATGTATTGATTCTTGTCTATATATATATATATATATATATATATATATATATATATATATATATATATATATATATATATATATATATATATATATATATATATATATATATATATATATATATATACTCAAATGCAATTCGCTGGCTGTATTTTTTGACCTGAAGGGTGGCATTCGAGTCTGTTGATTTATCGGTGAAAAGAGTACCGAGTAAGTACATCATTCCGTTTAAGGCTCTGTACGCCCATGGGCATGCTACAGCATGTGGTGAGTTGCATATATTGAATGGTGCCCGTTAAGGATGTCCACTTTCGCCGTTCTCACTTAGAAGTACTTATGGAGGTCTCCGTCCTTTTTCCAGACTTTACGAGGATGGACCTCTTCACAAGAGACTCCTTATTAGACATAGAGTATGCAAATGACAGTTCCATTAACTGAAGATGTTGACAAGATGCTAAGTTTTCTAAAAACTCTGTATGACAATTATAGAAATGTTTTGAATACGTTGCTCAAGGACCTGGTTTCGTTCAATAATGTAGGTTTCTAGATTTTACAAAGAATACTTTTCGCTATATTGACCTCTCAATTCTAAATCCAGGTGACTATTTTTAAACTTTTTCTTCTCCTTCATATAGGCTGCTCGTATTGAACGTGGTGAGGCTCGAGCTGAAGCAGCTCGCAGGCGAGCCTTGGATTCCGCTGCTGATTATAATCACCGCTTAGTTTCTGAACGTTTGAGTTCAAGACGATGTTACTGGGATTTGCAAACAATGCAAATTCATATTCCTCAACGAAAGTATAAACTATTAGAGTATCCTAATTTTCCTGGTGGAGCATATCCTGTAGCAGTTATTCCTGGACAGTTTGCAGAATACTTCATGAGTTATACTCCTGAACAATTATCTTACCTTCCATTATCACGGATACTGTATCCATATCCACAACGGAAGCATAAGAATCCACCTCCTCTTCCTGCAACACTTCAGTTTGGTTCAATTAAACCAAAAATCAGTACACCTGTTGTTTCTTCTTGTGATGTTGGGGATCAAAGTTCATTAGGTGTGGATAATTCTAGATCAACGGACTTTTTGAATCATCAGACTGTGAATTCTATAGATGGTCATCGTAGTGTACCTACAGATGGATCATTTTTAGCAAGTTGTGGTGTCTCTAAGTAAGAATAAAAATCCATTATGTACTTTAATGTAGGAGTAAAACCTATGTACTATGGTAGATTGTTATTCCATTTTAGTCTGTTTATTGGAAATGTTACACAGTGAAACAGTATCATTTACTGGCTAATGCGTTTCGGACACAATTTATTGTCCATATTCACATCAGGTAACTCTACAACTTTGAGACAGAATTTATAAAGTCTTAATTTTCTCTCCTTCTTTGTGATGACATGGGTAGTATAGATTTTCATATATCTTGGGCAGGTGCCGAATCATTTCCATCTATTGTATGTGTTTGATGTTGGTTAGACAAAGGAAGATTCAGTTGTCAATCTCTCCCTCCTTCCACCCAAATAAGCTAGTTTTTAACGCTGTCGCTCTATCCAACCCAACCGTGTGATTGTGTGCAAAGCTATAGCCGAGCATTTTTCTGAATTTCCTATCCTATTAGGATCTACTACTCTTGATTTAGTTAGGTTTTTGTACTCTGTTGTTGTAATCGACCCTGGTCGACTACTCTGAACCTATGTATTTAACCTTGCAATCATAGCAAGGTATTTAGCAAACCAGATTATTTTGCTTAATCGCATCGACAGGATCTTTTAACCTACAAAGCTTGTTTCTAAGTGAGTTTTTTTAAACGCCACCCTAGTCCTAGACAACTTTATTGGGAATTCTTCGTAATACCCATGTCATCACAAAGAAGGAGAGAAAATTAAGACTATAAATTCTGTCTCAAAGTTGTAGAGTTACCTGATGTGAATATGGACAATAAATTGTGTCCGAAACGCATTAGCCAGTAAATGATACTGTTTCACTATGTAACATTTCCAATAAACAGACTAAGATGGAATTACCATTATGTACCTATTTAACGTTTCTTATGATTTTAATGCTGACTGTTCCTTGCTCAAATTTCATAGTCCATTCTAGTATTCAGCCCAAATGATGAAGATGGAAAATAGTGGATCGCATAACTAACAGTTGAAGATTATTCCGCTCTAAACTGTCTTTCGATTATCTGTACTCCAAACTTGTTGGATTAACCGATCAAATACCATGTATTCTATCGAAATTGTGTTTGTGTTCCTATGAGTACTGAAAAAAACTCAACGGATTATTTTTCGCACTTGTAATGTGGAGATTTTTCTGTGGAACTTTTATTGACATCTAATATTTATCTTATCTACTAACTGAACATTTAACTGTTGAAGATAAATAGAGCTGATGACCACCGACTCTAACAATTGAGGTTATATAAAAATGTAAAAGGGAAGTTAACTTTCTCTCTGCTACCACTTTTGGCAGTATAAAGTAGTATATGTAGTAGGCGAGAAATATTTGATGTTTTAAATTGTTGAAACTAAATCTAGAAAAGTGTTGTACCGGTAATGGTCTTTGCGGGAGGAGGACAAATATCAGGATAATAAGTGTAAAATATGCTGGGGTAAGTGAAACTACAATGCGTTGTTTGTGTAAATAAAGATCATATGTAGGATAATGCATTGCTAATAAATGATATTTTCAAAAATGGTATAGGCAATATATTTTAGACTAATGTAACAAGAATTTTGTACATTATTTTTGAAGATAAATCTTATCTAACAAGATTTTAAGGGATTAGGAAATTATTGACAATGAAGCTATACATATTTTGCATCGATTTCATTTGCTTAGTCACATGGGATAATGTTTTATGTCTGTCTAACGTCTTGTATCACAAAGTCGAAGATGTACAGGAGTAAACCAACAAGTTTGTAGAAGAGTCAGGGCAGTGAAGATGGGACTTCCTTTAGGTGAACGTAAAGAAGACAGAGGTGATGAAGATAATCAACCACCACCATCACCAAGAACAACAACAGCAAGAATCAGCAATCATCATAGACGGGAGAAATCTAAGGGAAGTTGTCTCTTTCACCTACCCGCCTAGGCAGCATCGTTTCAACCACAGGTGGCGGTGGTGGCACAGATGAGGGTGTGAAAGCCAGGATCGGAAAGGACAGGGATACAGGCCTTGATTAACCTGAAATCATCAGTTTGGAGATCTACTGCACTCAGCACAGAGCGTGAACAACATCCGGATTTCAACACTAATGTCAGTCAAGTAACTCAATGCTTCTATGTGATGGTTGAGAGACTTGGTGCGTCACGAAAGCATTTCTCACAAACTTCAGACATACAAACATCAACAGCTGCCGCCCTCACTCGCTCGATATTGAACATCGATCGGATGGCGAAAATAATGAGAATAAGTAACAAGGATCTCTGGCTGGTTGGCTGGCAACGAACCAACCAACCACCTATCACCCAACAAATATGCAGAAGAATGTGGAGATGGATATGGATTTGAAATCCACCGAGGAGACCATTTTGGTGCATCACATGCCAGGACCTCGAGTGGAACTCGGATGGGAAACAACGAGTCGAGGCGAGGGTGACATGGAGGAGATTGTGTGAGGAATAAATGAAAGCTTGTGGGCAGTGGTGGAGCCAGGTTGAAAAGACTGGAGAGAAGAGAGTGAAATGGCAACTTGCAACTGAAGCCCTATGTTCTACTAATCCAAAATGGGTGTAGTGTTTACAAATTTGTTTGGCAAATCAGTCCATAGTTTGACTAGTGTATTCAGCTGCATGGGAGCAAGTAGAAAAGAATAAAGGATGTACAGCATGATTGGGAGTTTATTATACAGTGATATAATTAGGAGTCAAAAAAATGCTCAGTTAAATCAGCAAATGAATATTTACCATTGAATTTCAAATTTACATTTTCAATATTTCGAGATATTAGGTTAGGATTCATCATGGACTGACATGAGTTTGGAGAGCATTGGAAATCAGAGAGCACTCGACAACTGTTACGTCCCACTAGTATGAGATTCCTCAGCAATGCGCACCCACAACCCACACCACCAGGGATCGAACCCAGGACCTTCAGGTTCCGTGATCAACAGGCTACCATTGAGCCACTGGGTCGGAATGCAGTTGTTCATATTTCCTAGTTCTGTCGGTTCATGATTTAGCGCAACCTACATCCAATGTAATGTCGTCGTTTAGTAACTGTCCTCATGTTCGACTTGGTTGTTTCCGCTGGTCATCAATGAGCCCTAGATTAGTTCTATCTGGAGGTTTGTGGAGATTCAATAATTGATTTTAGATCGGTTCCCGAAGTCCCAATGAGAAGTGACCAGTGGAGTCAAAAAAGTCAAGCATGATGACTGTTATTCAACGACGACATTAGATGTTCGTCGCGCTATATCATGGTATTGACAGAAGTAGGAAATATGCACCATTTTATTCCGACCCATTGGCTCGATGGTAATGCGCTAGTTTCATAGGCTGAAGGTCCTGGTTTCGATCCGTGGTGGGGTGGGGTCATGGGTGCGCATGGCTGAGTCCAGTACTAGTGGGACGAAACATCTGTCTAGTGCTCCCTGGTTTTCAATGTTCCCCAACTGATGTCAATCCATGATGAATTCCAACCTAAAATCAATTAATATATCTCCACAAACCTCCAGATAGAATTTCTGGATATTGTTTATTGTCAATAACATTTTGTTACACTACCTTACTAATATTTGAATATTTTTCCTATCGTGCTTTCTATGATTTATTTTGAACCATTTTGATCGGTTATTGTTATTTTTGCTGTGTTCAGTTCACATGCATCTGTTTCTGAATCGGAGACAGACAAAGTGAATAACTCACTACTTTACCGAAGATTCAAGACAAGAGTAGAGATGAATACAGAAAATCCAACCTGCGTTGTATGTGGACAATTGGCTTTGAATTATATCCGTTGCTCTGAATGTAAATTAATTGGACATTCAAAATGTTTAGATATACCTGATTCTATGTTACCAGGTGTGAAAAGGTAAATGTAACCTTGTCGCTGTTGTAAATTTGAGTCTTTTTTGTTTGCATAAGTATTCTGCTGCTGTATTTTGAATATCACGATACAATTATCAATAAATCTCTTGATTTTAAGCTATCATCAAGATCAACATAGGATCAGGCATTACTGCTTAACTGTCCAAGTTGCCACATTTCATATCAGTTCATCAAGTAACAAGGCAATAAAATGGAAGATGATGAAAGAAAGAAAAACCGGTCAAAAGAAGTAAAAGGTAGTAAAAGAAAGGAAGGGGGAATAACAAGATGATGTGAATAAGTATAACAGTCAAGATGAGGATACTGTGTGTATACATCTGCGCCACTAACATCAGTTCTAAGCTATATCTCCTAGGGTCTCCAACCACTAGTTCCTCTTGTCTTGCATACCCTAACTGACTGGTCTGCATCACTCTACATGACTCAAACCAACATTCAAGGACTTCATGCATTGATGCCATGTTTAATTCTGAGCACCTCGAGCTTTTTTCCAGCCTGGACTTACCTCAGCCAACATTGTGTGACGAGGCATACAGTGGCTAGACATACGTAACACGTGTCCCAGTCACCTCAGTCGATGAAGGTTCACAACCGCATCAACTGTCTCACGTCCTGCCTGCAACCCTACACCTGACTTCTGCGTTACTCATGTTGTGACACCACGAAACCTGGCCAACGCTACAAAGGCAACGGTGTTTGAACACCTGAAACGTCATCTCTTCTACCTTTAATATCCATGTTTCACAGCCATACAGTAGAAAACAGCGGACTGCAGCACAGTACGCTCGACCTTTAATAAACAGTCGGATATCGCGGCGGTGCCACAGATGGCGTAAGTTGGCCAAGAGCCAACCGAACCTTTCATATCTGTGCAGAGATTTCATCTCCTACTGACCCACCAGGGCGGATCTAACTTCCCAGGTAAGTGAAGTGTTTAACACACTCAACCAAGTCGTTGGAGGTAGTTAGCAGCAAGGTGTACACCTAGACTATTTGCTTTTTAGCATTCATCAACAAAAGGCAAATGTGCTTTGTTCCGTGAGAGATCTGTACACTCCACTCAGTATGGCAGTCGGAGACATTGCTACTGAGCTATTCCGCATCAGTTGTGGAAGTCATTCATTATAAAATTTACTGGTATCATGAAAGCAGCTTGAATGTATTTCAGTGATAAGCTAATTAGTTACTGATACGGCTAAAAATCAGAACAAATTTTGTATCTTCCAGAAAGGATAGATTTCTATAACGTAGGACTAAAACATTTCCAGATTATATATATATATATATATATATATATATATATATATATAGTGAACATAAATAAGTTGTACAGATATTCAAGGATTGACTGTAATTCATTCGTTATGGAGACTTGAAGTTCAGCATACGTGTAAACCATTTTCATGAGTCTGTTATGTTAGAAGACAAATTGAGGGAATACAGTTGATATGCTGCAATACGAATAATGCTTGTCTTAAAGATCGTCGTAAAATGAAACAATTTGTTTAAAATCTATGATTCTTACTGTCTGTGTCTTTAATGTAATGAGCTTTTAGCTATCAATTACTCTTTAAAAGAAGGTCACATTATCATATTTCATGTGTTTTGTTGTGTAGAAGCTCATCAAACAGGTGTATATCCAGATTTTTCTTAGTATTCTAAATTTCCAGTTATTTTTTTCTATCATGAGTAGATTAAGGCAAAGATTAGATGGCAGGAACTTGACTACAGTTGTGTGTAGAGCTGTAGCTTATTTGTACAAAGACTGTACAGATTTAAACCTGCTCCACTTACTCTGATCTAGGCCAGGGAGTTATTAACTGTCATTTCATCATTATTAGCTCTATATGTCCGGATAAGATAAAACAAATGATACTCGTGCTAGTAATTATACTTGATCTGATTATATAGCTAAGGTATGTATGAAATAAAATCAATTCATATGATAAGATAGTTCTAGAGTTTGTCCATTTCGCCGATGACTTGTATCTAATGTCTTGTCGCACAAACTCGAAGATCTACAGGCAAAAACTGACAAGTTGACAGAAGAGGTAGCGAAGACGGGACTTCAAGTGAACGTAGAGAAGACAGAGATGATGAAGATATCCAACCAACAACAACAAGCTCCGATCACCATCAATGGGAGAAACTTAAAGGAAGTAGCCTCTTTCACCTACCTAGGCAGCATCGTTTCAACTACAGGTGGCACAGACGAGAACGTCAAAACAAGAATCGGAAAAGCAAGACAGGCATTCATTAACCTGAAAACTGTGGAGATCTTCTGCACTCAACATGAGGCGTGAACAAGATCCGGATTTTCAACCCTAATGTGAAGTCACTGCTTCTGTATGGTTCAGAGACTTGGCGCGTCACGAAAGGGATTTCCAATAAACTACAGACATTCATCAACAACTGCCTACGCTGGCTTGATACTGAAGATCAGATGGCCAGAATAATAAGAATAAGCAACAAAGAACTCTGGCCTGGTAACGAACCAACCAAGAAGCTATCACTCAACAAATATGCCCTGGAAGGAAGTGGAGATGGACTAGATTGGGCATACACTGAGAAGGCTGACTGGGGACATCACGTGCTAGGCCATGATCTCGAGTGGGACCCAGATGGGAAGGGACGAGTTGGGCTTTGGAGGTGAGGGTGACATGGAGGAGATCGTGTGAGGAGGAAATGATAGCTTGTGGGCTGTCTTTGAGCCAGGTTGAAAAGATTTCAGAGAAGAGAGTAGAATGGAGACATGCTACTGAAGCGTTATGTTCCATTAGGAACCCAAGGGACAAATAATAATAAGAGTTTGTATAGAGTAGAGTAACTTGAATGTAGTGAAAAACTTTCAGTCTGAATACCTGATATCTGGATTAAAAAGCAAACGATGTAGCTTATGAAGTACGAAGGGTACTTTGTTAACTTTAATTATACCACAGGGATGTACTAGAAATTTTTGAGTGTTTCTACATGTTTTTGTTCAATAGCACTTTTGTCAACTATTCGAGCTATTTGATTCACAAAGCTTTAGTATCTATGCAACAGAGTGGTGATTGAAGGTGAAATGAACACATTGACAGGTTTCTGGTTTAAATCATACTGTGACTAAGGTTTCCCATTTCACCTGCAATCACCAGTTCATTAAGTTAATTACAGTCTACCACTACCCAACAAGTTTTATTTATTCCAAAATTTTTGTTTCGTGTGAATCCTAATAAGTAGTTATATGTTCTGCTATCTGTTTCTTTTCCAACTTGTATAGCTATGATTGGACTTGTCTGGAGTGTAAACGATGTATGGAGTGTAATGATTCAGGTCAAGAAGATCAAATGATGTTTTGTGATCGATGTGATCGAGGTTATCATGCCTTTTGTGTTGGATTGGGACGAATTCCAAATGGGAAATGGGAATGCTTATTATGTGAATCAATACCAACACCAGCTAGGAAAGGTCGACCTAGAAAAAATGTACCAAGAGATCTAGATGATTTGCCCTGGGGTTATAGTCCAAAAGGCCACGTAAACCTAAACTGAAACGAAATTTCAGTCAACCAAAAATTGTTAATGATACTAAGGATTCATATAACATTGTCCAGTCAGGAATTTCTAATACAGAAGTACCCAAACGTCGTCGTGGTCGACCTCCTACAAAAAATCGTATCATTTCAACTCTTCCACCTCCTCTTATTTGCCCTTATATTCCGAATCGAACTAGTTTTAGCTCAAGTCGATCAGATTTATCATCACCTTTACCAAATTTTCCATCTACACCATTGCCTAACAAAGTGATTGCAGCAGAGACTGATGAACCGTCTGCAGTACAATATCCTAACAGTAGTATTGTTAATGCTAAGAAAGAACTTTCTTGTGAAGACAAAATTGATATTTCTCATGAAAAGAATGAAGATTTAACACTGGCTACTAGTAATGTAACAATCAATGAAAATTATACAAAAATATGTGAACCCGAGACACAAACTTCTGGACTACAAACAGACCTAATTAGTTCGAATAATGTGGAAAAGTGATTCATTTCTTGTTTAATGTATGTATGTTTCTAAAGTAATTCTTTAATCTGTATATTACTCTCATTTGTATTTAGAAACTGATTTGTAATAATTATTGGTGCTTTCTCTTTACTTCTTCGTGTTAATATTACTGATGAAAAATATATGTCCTAACACATGGTTTACTTAGATTTGTATAATATAGTGATAACACTAGTATTTTCAAAATCGGTTCATGTGGGGATTTTCGCCGTCGTTTTCTTCCTCTTTCTACTCTCCTTCTTCCCCTTCTCCTTTCTCATACCGTTTTTCTTCTCCCCCTTCTTCTTTTCAATATTCTTCGCCTCCTTCCCCTTCTTCTTATTCCCATTTTTATTCTTTTTCATTTCCTTCTCCTTTTTTCTATTCTACTTTTCTTCTTCCCATCATTCCTCGCCCCCCTTTTCCCCTTCTTCTTCTCACTTTTGTTCTCCTTCGTTCTCTTCCTCTTCTCATTATTCTTCGCCTGTTTTCCTCTTCTTCCACTCTTTCTCTTCCCGTTATTCTTCTCCTTCCCTTTCTATCCACTTTCCTTCTTCTCGTTCGCTTTCTTCTTGTTCTTCCCCTTCTCCTTCTTTTTTCTATTCTTCTCTTCTTCGTTAATTCATCGTTATATTTCAGTTTGTGAAGGGCACTTACAATTGTGATACTTTTGGTGTCAGAGAAAAAGACTTAATACGATGTTTGTCTGACGTCCAACTTAGTTTCACTTATGAAATCTGAAATTAAAAGGATAATTATATTAATAATGGCACCTCTACTGTGACTGTCACCGGTGAGCTGATTATATATATATATATATATATATATATATATATATATATATATATATATATATATAGGTTCAAACATAGTGCGGACATTCCATGTCCCCACGTTTATCTTCCCTTTCATCGAGAGAAGACACATCGGTCAATTGGCTTCCCGAAGGCTTTCACCAACCGGCGTCCTTTCGCCTCCCTGATTCCAGCGGGGAGTAATTTCATTTTTATGTTTAGTTTGTACTTTGAAGTTTGTTTAGTGGTTGGATTGGTTTTCCGGTGTAGGGTTGCTAGCTTTATGCCCGTACTTCCCTGTTTACCCGGGCTTAGGACCGGCTAGTAACTAGCGAACTAGTTAGCCAATCAACCAGCCTAATACAAGGTAATTTGTGGAGTTTATGTTAATTTTCCTCTGTATCTGCATTTTAAGTTCTTCAAAGCCACAGAATGTTTGGTTACTGTTCATAAACTGAATGAAACTTGAATAAAATGTCTGTCTTCTTGAAGAATACAACAATTGACTCCTTGAATTTATTCCTCATAGCTTTCCTATTCTTTATAGTCTTACTTTTCTTGGTCTCTAGAATGCTTTTTATCATTAGAAAATCTTCAGATGACAACTTACAACGTGTTGTTTAAATGTAACTCCTGAGTTATTAGGAAATTTGTGTAGTACGTTTTGAATTCCAGTTTTCTAAAAAATCTAAATGATTACCTTATAACGTTATCGAACGTGTTAGTAGTAAACTCTATGCTGAATACAGTGTACATTTGGTTGGATAAGAGAACATAAACGTTAAGTACATTCAGAACTGAGAACAAGACTATTTGTGACCTTTGAGTTGATTTCACATCTTCATTACATTTGAAAACGACTATGAATTGAACAAGAGTTAGTTAACCAATGAAGTGGTAAGTGTTGTTTTTTATGTTTCAGTGAAATCAATAATGACACCACAACAGCACTTGTCTATGTCGAAAAAGTTGTCTATGAAATAAAACTGTCTATCTGAATTGAATTCTTGCCATCGAAACCTCTGTATGTTAGTGGGACTGTTCATTTCAGTAGTGTAAAACAATAGCTAAGGAAAACTTCGAACTTCTATAACAGCTTTACTTGATGATCGATCAGATCTAACTTTAATTTATAGTTTGTGCTCAAAATAAGCATTGGGATAAATCTATTTAATACTTGTTCACCGAGGTCAACTTAAATGTCGAGTTATTTCACAAACGAAGAGGTCTGATTCAATTTACTTGGGAGGGAGAAAAAACAGATTTAAGGTTGGACTTCAAAAGGGTTTAATTGTCATAACGTAAGTGGATTTTTTAATGTTATTTAATGCAACACACCAACTAGATGCAGATTTATGTACTAGGCTACACTGAGTTTTTGAACCTCTACACCCGACCGATAGCTGTTACCTTGGGGTGGTGGACCAGTTTGCACATCACAATGACCCAACGAGCTACACTGGCTGGAACGCTTGTTCCCTCGAGGTCCTACCATACCACAAAGGTCTGTTGGATAGTGGTTAGATAAAAAGCAGTTGCCGTTGTAGTGTAAACTACTACACTGTGATGGGGGGTCTGGTGGCGAAATCGTACTGCTGCTAACTGGATGGGGTGTGACAACAATAAGGTGTTTCCCAGCAGTGCGACTTTGATTTTGCCTTCCCAACGCGAAGAGAGGTTCAGAAAAGGTCGACCTCTAAAACAACACACTCCTTACCCCACACTCTTCCGGAGCCGGCGGTATGGTTTTCTCTATCCTGAATTAGAACAACCATATCTGAAAACAGCAATCCACGAACGATTGACTGTGATATGTCTCAATCAAGTTTCCTATAGACTCTGGGGTCACACAAATCTTTTTCTCTTCCAGATACCTTAAGTAGAAATACTCTTCGACCATGTGGGCGGTCGGGAAGTGTCAATTGTTCGCACGCTTTCGATACTGCACAAGACTCAGTCAAACAACCTGTTTACACTATGATTTTAGTTGTACCATTATAAAACGGATCGACCTTTCAGGTATGGCAAAAACTTAACCAGGCATCGTTCTAACCGGTATATTCCATTGAGACACGGGAGCCCAACAAGCCACCACGTCAAAACAGCATTCACATGGTATGTATCGGAATTAGTTGCATAACCCACGCATTAAGGTGAAAACAGGAGAGGTAATAAAAACCCTTTGCCTCCCACTTTTCTATACTCACATCAAGTATGCTGCTCTTCAGACCAAAGCACTTTAGTCTCTTGAACATTATCCCAGGATAATTAAACTGATCTGGACAACATATAAAAGCAACTCACACATACCTAATTCCAAAATACAAAGAAATGACAGCAACTAATTCAACTGAGACATTAGTATGTAACGCTAACCAGCTCTTTTACTGTTCACTACACTCCACTGTACATCCATTTGGGAGTTATTAGTTTTGGAAAGATTATTACCACTGGTTCTAGGTGTGTGTAGGTTGGTCATTTGGCAGTCGGTAACAATGTACACAACAGTTGTTCAAATCTCGCCAATCGGAAGGACCTTCAGAAGCACAGTGACACACACACCTTAGTCGAGTGAAAGGCAATCGGTTACTTGGTATACTGATCCAGTAATGTTGGACAAAAAATGTGTACATACTCCACATCCATTGCTTACTCATCTCTTCAAGTTGTATTCATTTGTATTCAACCCAGTCAACCAATGGACATTCTACCGAATCAGTGTTAGATGTTTTCTGAATTTTATCGTACTCCTCAGCCATTTTGCTTTCAGTGGAATTAAGTACTTCCTTCAGAAAATGGTGTACAACATATTCGAATCAGTCATCATCAAATAACCAATGTATCTGTTAAATCCTTAGTGCTTAGCATTGATCAAATTCTAACAATCAAGTTTTCACTATCTCACTAAGAGATAAGTGATGTGTCCACTTTATGATGCATTGTGTTCTGGTATTGAATGTCAGAAGCATTTCGGTATTATTTTCTTCAACGAAAAGGTTTAAAGAGAAACTGGATCATTACAGAGATAACCACTGAAGTAATTAACACAGACTGGTTAACTCAACTATCATTATCATTGAAGACTGACTCATCATTAACTGCCCTGTTCCGGTCATGTCTACGTACTGCTGAAGAGTCTCATACTAGGATGAAATGGCTTCCAGTGCTCCCAGGTTTCCCATATTCCTCCAATTAATGTCGTTCCATGAATACCAACCTGAAATTAATAAATCCCCTCAAAACATCTAGATTGAGTTAATCTAGGACTCAAGGCGGTCTGCTTAAATCTTGAGCTACTAAAAAACTTTTCCACTGATTGTATTCCATCATAGTTTTTCTTTTCATTTTCTTTTAGTCTTTCAAATGTCTTCCAAACACATCATGTACTCTCACATGTTTTAAAAAATATTTTCATACTTTCGTTTCTCAAGCTAAGAACAAAACAAGGGAAAACGTTTTACCGGTTGGAAATGGATTTATAAATGGTCAAAAATACACTACAGTACTGTTTCTAGGATACCTGTATGGAATTGTTAATTTCTGTGCTGGCTGACTAAATTGCTGTAACATGTTTGAAATCTTACTTTCGTGGTCACTATCAAACTTACACTCGTCCACGCGCCTCCTTCAACAACGTACCTACCCACAAACTAGGTGAAAATGTATCAGCAGCTGGTCGTTACACTGCCACCATCAAAATTATACTCCATTTTGTCTTAATTTCCAAATTGAGAACAGATGCCCGTTTCACACTTATGCCTTCAATACTGTTATTATTAACACTATGCAGACGTAATAAATATTTCTTTTAAAAATATTGTGCGGAAAGCGAATTTGTCGGAATAGTTCATGATGAAAATTCTATACTGTATCGTACTTGTTGTCTGGAACATAGTGGTTACTATTATTATCATTATTATTATTATTATTATTATTACTATTATTATTATTTGGTAACTAGCTTTGAGAGGTGATTCCCGAAATTCCAGTAAGTCGTGACCGGTGGGGCCAACGAACTGGGACATGTGAACAGTTATTCAACGAAGGTATCGGATGGAGGTCAGATTGACAGAAGTAGAAATTATGGACCAATGGGTTTTGACCCAATGGCTCAATAGTGACGTGCTCGTTGCAGAACTTGAAAGTCCTGGGTTTGTACTGTTGAATCCGATACTGAGAAGGAACGACTATCCTGTGCTGCCAGGCTCCTAATCTTTCTTCATGTCGGTCCATGATGTATACCAAATGGCTTTTGAAATGTAATAGGAATTTTTAATGGACTATCCTTCACTCTTGGAAGCACTGTTTCAACTACGGGCGGGACGGACGAGGACGTCAAAGTCAGAATCGGAAAAGCAAGACAGGCCTTCATTAGCCTGAAACCAGTGTGCAGATCTTCTGCACTCAGCATTCGGGACAAGATACGGATTTTCAAAGCCAACGTCAGTCAAGTCAGTGCTTCTGTATGGTTCAGAGACTTGGCGCGTCACGAAAGGGATTTCCAATAAACTACAGACATTCATCAACAACTGCCTACATTGGCTCGCTACTGAAGATCAGATGGCCAGAATAGTCAGAATAAGCAACGAGAAGCTCTGGGAACGAACCAACCAAGAACCTATCACCCAACAAATATGCAGGAGGAAGTGGAGATGGACTAGATTGGGCATGCATTGAGAAGGCCGACTGGAGACATCACGCGTCAGGCCCTCGAGTGGAATCCCCATGGGAAGCGACGAGTTGGACGTCCGAGGGTGACATGGAGGAGGTCGTGCGAGGAGGAAATGAGAGCTTCTGGGCTGTCTTGGAGCCAGGTTCAAAAGATCTCAGAGAACAGAGGTCACTGGAGGCGTGCTACTGAAGCCCTATGTTCCACTAGGAACCCAAGGGACTAATAATAATATAATAATAATCCTTCACTCTTAAGATAAGTTTCTCTTACTTATCGATTTATGAAATTCAAATATCTAGCGTGTATATACTAGTATAAAAGGACTTAAGATTGATGATGATTACTGTTGTATTAGTTGATGGTTAATTCTATAATGATATTACTAGTACAACACTTAACTATCTACCTTGTTAGCTGTTTCTATTGCATATTGTTTCTACTTTACAATTTTGGACAGTCTACGAATTTTGCACCGGAGGATAGATTATTTTTCTCTGTAGATAATTGTGAACGAAACTTAGATATAGGCAACTGGTGTGAATGGTCACCTTGGAGTAGATGTGAAGCACTTACATGTACACGATTACGTCAACGTGAATGTGGCTGTCCTGCACCACTTAACTGGACAAAAGCAACAGAATGTAAAACTGTTAAACCTCAAAATGACTACAGAGTAAATAATGTAAGTCTGATCTATATATATGCCACATTTACAAAGAGTAAAATCTTACTATATTCTCTTATTTAATTGAAGTTTTATTTTAAGTACCGATCTGCATATATAAATGTTCTGTGTGACAACAAGCCAGCGTCGTAGCTGGACATACGGCCAGCATAATAAATTTCATGGTGGTTGATAAGATTTTGCCACTAATACAGAAGGACCTATTAGTTTCTGCCAACTTCCACCACTTTTGGCGCCGGTGAGATATTTAAATGCCTCTTATGATCGAGTGTATGGCACATCATTGTGTCCTAATCTTAGTTCATAGTTACGAAATATGGCTATGTAAGATGGAGATTATGAAAACTCCTCGAATATTAGACAACTATTACTTTATAGCATCACTGATGTGTAATGCAACAACTTTAAGAATAATGTGAAAGTGAAGCCCAAGAGGCCAATCATTCGATGATCGATGCTGTTGAGACATTAATTGAGTCGATTCATCACCTGCCTCAGTGTACGAGGCCAGTAGAGTTTAGGAAATTGATTCTACTGAAGTCAAGAATGATCAGGGTAGGTGATGTTCCAACTCTGTTTAGCCAGATCGCTAAGTAAATGACTGGTTACCTGATAGTGTTTAGAGGTTCAATTAGTCAAAGGCTGAGTCGTTTTAGTAACATTTCTGAAAGTTGTTTCCATGACCAAAGTTATATTTTCAATATATTTACATAATTTTTGCTGTAAATTTTTTTCTCTCCAGACCGCTGTGTGGTGAGGAAAACGAAAAGATACACTTTTATATTAGGTTCCACTTTGTGATATCTCTAAATCCCTTTATTTTTTCTGTCTTCTTCTATGTTAGCAAGCATAGTCTAACATACTTTTTGACTAAGTACCGTATAGATCAGTGACTAATGGAATATATATACGTTTTGCAACATCGTGAAATTGAGTGCTAGCTAACAACTGAATGAACCAACTGATCAGAGAGGATGACAAGACCAAAGTAAAATCTTTCACAGTAGCTTATCAGTTCAAGTCAACACACTTCATATTAGCATCGAAAGAACAACTAGGTAGAAAAAAAGTTATATGTATATAAGCAGACAAAAGTGTATGAGAGGAGAAGGAATTCGGAAATCAGTGTTCGTGAAAAGACTCAAACGTTATAATGAATCTGCACCGTTTTGAACGATTTTTAACCCCGTCACCATTATAGTATTTAAATACTGATCTTTATGGTATGGGAGACAGCAGCCATATAGTCTATAACTGCCCAGACCAACAGTCAGAGACGTCATGCACTGTTGTCACGTCTTGATCATGGCCATGCTTAGCCCTATTCCAACCTAATCCAACACATTCACAAGCCACTTGAGTCGCATAGGGTTCAAAAGCTCACTGAATGACTTGTCTGTCTCGCCTAGTACCTTTTACCTGACCTCTACAATACTCATAGGGTGATACCACCAAACATGAAAAGTGCTACGAAGAAACCTGTGTTCGGAAACCTGTAATCACTTCACACCTAATTTTAGCCGCCATTTCTCACAGTAGTACAACAGAGCGGAGCGAACTGTAGCGCAGTATACTCTATTTTTCAACAGGTAATTGGATATCTGGCCACCACTAGAGATGACGTAGGTTGGTAAATGTCAAACAAGCCTTCTGCATCCGAGTTGAGTTTTCTTCATCTACCAATCTGTTTGGGCTGATTCATCGACCTTATTTAGTGAAGCGGTCGATGCATTCTACTACTTCACTATATATCCTTAAAGTAAGTGTACTTTAGATGTGTCTAGAAGTACCCTCTTGCATTTACAGGTATGAGATGAATGCCGAAGGTACGCCGATTTCTGCTCAGTGAGTTCAAAATACTTTGCGTTTGGTCACCTCCTTTGCCTAGTGGGGTATTATCGTCTACGTGCTCCAAGTCAATCAGAGGCCTTCCAAGAAGTAGACCAATCTCTGTGAAGTACTCAGGGCGACGTCCATAAGTCCATCTATGAAAAACTTATGCATGGACGGTGACAATGTGCATTCCCATTAGACACCATTAGTTGCTGTCAATTTAGATGACAGACATCCATCATTCCTTTCATAGCAGCGTGATTTCGTGAGGAGAGATTTGGTCTGTATTGCGTATTCTCTTGGTACTCTCTTCATAGTACGACACTCCCCCAGCATCTCTCGGATGACAAGGTCGACTGCTACCTTCAGGTTAAGAAATATGGCAAGTATCACTGTCAGTAAGTGCACCTGTGCTCTTGAACCTGTAAAAGCGTAACAATCTGATCGATGCACTCTCGTCTCGGTGTGGAACCTGTTTTTTTTCCAGTGTTTGATATTTTCGAGCTCAGTTTGGGCGTTGGATAACTACGGACTCTAGGATCTTGGATACGATGTTAGTCAACGTTATTCATGCATTTGTGTCAAAGGAAAACTTCTCTTTCTGACAGGACTACTTCTGATTTCCACATGCTATCTAGTACATTCGTTGCTCCATTCATTAATTTCCTACCTACTTCTGTAAAGGCTTCCTGTGGTCAAAAGTTCGTTTCTGCTGCTTTGCATCGTTCCAGATTCGAAACACCCTTCTTGACTTCGGGATCAGTTAAGAGACCGACATCTGAGTCTCATTTAGGTTCGAGTTGGATGCTGGGAAAAAAGCGTCACTGTAGACCAATAAAGTGTTGTCCAGATTAAAACACCCAACGTAGTAATATACAGACGACACTGCCCTCTAACGTGATGTTGACAAAATCCAGGGTCTTCGGAATGCACGCGTCGGTCAGAAATCTGAGTACGTTTAGGATGCATTTCGCCAAAATCTGTCAGATGTAAGATGATGCTTCAGGACTGGTCTACTGCAAGTACTCCATGTCCAGTGATGGGGGGGGGAAGAAGTGGTGGAATGTGTCGACCACCTTAATTACTTTGGTTGGTTGCTGACGCAGTCTCATTGTGGGGATACAGAAGGACCGTCTGGCATTTACCAACTTGAAGAACCTGTGGCGCCAACTGGCGAGATATTCGATTATTTATCAACGGTCGAGTATGCTGTACTGCAGTTCCTTCTGGACACAATTTATTGCTCATAATCATATTAAGGTAATGACATCAGCCTCTGGTCTACGTTTTACTGTTTTTCCTTTTTTGACCTTACTGGTAGCAGAACTTTCCATATACCTGGGACTGACATCAAATTGTTTTTACCGTATACGTTAATCAACAGTCCAATGCAGCGAAATTTGGTGATCAACGTGTCTCTTCATCTAGTTATATTGATTTTTTGAATAGTTATTTTGTTCATACTGTTGTGTAAATTTGTTTATGAGATACCAAGAGGGATGTTTAGAAAGTTAGGTAGACTATTATAAACAGTGTTATCTTCAGTAACAAAATTACGCAGCATAATTATAGTATCAGGTAAAACTGAATTCAAGTTTTAGATTTCTACTTTATATTTACTGTAGCAAATTCTATTAGCAATTGTTGAACTTAGTTGTTCTGATACGTGTGACTGTAGCATGCATACATGGACAAATACATTACAAGTGAGCTTTCTTTTTCTTTCGTTTGATTTGGGCTTTTCGAGCCGTGACCGGCCAATATATAGGATAGGCCTAAGTTTATTAAATAACCATTGAACCGTGAATAACATCAAACTTACTGAACTTTCCATGTCCAGAAAGGTCTACTGATTATCTCTGAGCATCCAACATTTCATACAATGAATCGATGTTTTGAGTTTGTCGACTCATTGACCACAGTTGAAAGTTGTGCGATTCAGTCAACATCAGGGATTCGACATTGTAATATTTGCTGTTATTCAGTGACTAATTGGTGCGTATATTGTCTTGCTCAATAATATAAAGTATTATTTCAACTGTAGTTTATGGTCTTAAAAGTTTGACTTAACAGGTTTCGGGATCAAAATATTATCTGACTGTTCTCAACATATCTTCTTTCAAAGTAGTTAATTAATAATAATAATGATAATGATAATAATAATAATAATAATGATAATAATTACAATAATCGCCTTATTCCAAACTATGTATGATACATTTATATAAACTATGATCAAGATTTGATCAGACAGTATGGCAAATATTGGGCACTGAGTAAAAGGTTGAAACTAGATATAGATTGTATTTGTGTAAGTCACAGGGGGTTTGAAATCCAATAATTCTAACGTTTCTCATGGAAGTCTGGTCTGAGTTCTTTAAAGGAGAAACTTGGACCAGACTTCCATGAGAAACGTTAGAATTATTTGATATCAAACTCCCTGTGACTTACACAAATACAATCTAATATGTATGATGCAGTATAGAATTCTCAGCCAATAATTTTTCAACAAAGTCATTTCTATAACAATATTTTCAAAAGAGAAGTTTATTGCATTTGAGTGATGTTAATAATAAAAGTATTCAAGACAATAATGTGAAACAGCCCACTGGTTTGGGATTAGTGTCCGGTGCAATATGAAGTATCAACAGAAATGTGAGGCTAAGTTTGCTGGCCGTGGTTCATTTAGCCAGTACAAAAATTTTGGCCTACTTAAAAGTCTACTTCCAGATAACGCTAGTTGAAAACATTTTAAAAATGTCCAAGAGTACAGGCCAAGTTCAGATGATGTATTTAAATGATTCAAACAAATTGAGGGGAAAACGTTTGATGTATATAGTTAGGTAGAGAATTTAGGTTATCCAAGGTTTAACCAAACCACCGTCCTTACTTAAATTTCTAAAGAATTTCCGCCATCTCATTTATACATGTCTGAGTCATTGACCATTGATAATCTTAAACAGGATATTTTCTCAGGAACATTATACGGAATCATAAGCCTTATCATAACCGGGATAGTAATTTCTCCGTTAACAAGCTTTTCCTACTTTCATCACCATGTTTTTTTCTCTACATGTTTTATTACTTCTCCTTTCTCTATACTTTCAGGTTGACCAGTTCTTTTTAATGCCTAATGCTTCTTACCAGCTGTGTTCATCTTGGTGGTTAGTAATGGAATGGAGGACTCGTCAACTATATGTACCTGCACCCCAGTTAGTGGCACTGTCGCCTCTGAGACTCGAACTCACTGCCTACCTCTTCAAACCCCAATGGGTATAAGTTGTTGTTTTAGTGATACAGGATAGAGTCCCAAATAGGACTAAATGAACGTCCTAGATTCTACTACTAGTCATCAAGATGAATACAACTTCACGAATATCTACATCCATATGGGAGTACATTTGTCAGAAGAATTCGAGCGATTCCACCCTGTAAAGCAATGGGAAGTTATAATGTTCAACAAACTTTTTATCAATCTTAGTTTTCACATCTTTCTTCTCCTTCTGGATTATTTTTATTACTGTATGACGGTTTTCCAGAACACTTAACCATCCGACTGGTTTCATTTAATTTTAATGAATATATAAATACTGTTGTACAGCTTTTGAAGATGAGACTATGGAGATTTTGCCGACTATTGCATCTTTATTCTCTGACTTGATGTTAGGATTTTCAATTCTTCGAAGACGATATAGTTAACTGTATAAAACTGTTTGTTGAAAACACCAGTATCTCCTTCATATTCTATTTTGGTATAGACAATTATCAAACATACGCGACATATACGATTTACAAGTGATACTAAGCACGAATGTAAAATACCCGTAATTCTCGAAGGCACTTACTATCCTGACTGTTTTCAACCGTAAGTTGAAATATTTTTGCATTTCATTATTCCTACTTGCATAACTATATTTTACTTTAATTCTGATGCCTTACTAACTGAGATCCAAACAGTTATGCACTTAGATGTACGTTCACTCCAGTGAGTGGTGTTGTTCCCACCGAGACTCAAACCTCGTACTCATCCCTTCAAACGTCAAGACGTTATCCACTAGGCCATGGATGTACAATAGCCATATCTTATGCAACGTCGAACAATTCAATCCAGAGAAGCAACGGAGAATTACAAGCATATGCATAAATAATAATAACTAATAACCATTGTGTAAGAGGTAGTCATCGTGGCTACATGGCCTAGTGGATATTGCCCTGGCGTTTGAATCAACGTGTCCAGAATCCGAGTCCCAGAAGGGACAACACCACTCATTGGGATGCACGTACATCCAGGTGATGAGTCCCAAATAGGACGAAACGCCCGTCCTGGATTCCTCCGCTAGCCAAAACTAAGTAAATTACCATAACTAACATTCAGGTAGTATCAAGGCATCCGCATAGGAGCCCATAAGCCAATAGAGGTCGAACAGTTCGATCCAATAGAAAAGGGAAAATTAAAAGCATATCCATAAATAGTAATAGTCATGTAGTTAGTTAATCAACATTATCTTTCATCCTTCGATTGACTGAAGTTAACAAGGGTGATCAATATTCTTCTTAATTAATTAATTGTCTCCTGAATGTATCAATTTATGTGAATTAGACATCGACACACAGCAGTTCATAGACTTGATCTAGATGATCTTTACTATTGATTACTTATTATTCCTAAGTAGTAAGTGAAACTACAAAGGAAAGATATCAAGAGAACTACTTTGCAGTACTGTGGAGTAACTGTTTGGTGAGACTTTTTTAAATAGATTGAATTAGCTCTTCTAACACAGACTTGCATCGATGTCTATCTTTGTCACTACTAATTAAACAGATTTTGAGTATTTAGTGAATAACATGAATTATTAATGAATGAACGATTTCCAACACATTTCCTTAATCTTTTTTGTTTATCCTAGTGTTTGGTGTTAACTGAATTGTAGAGTATACTCACAGTACCCTGCAAGTTATCATACAGAATAGGATTTTACTTTCCACTTATAATTATCAACAGTAGATTTCAGGAATCTCGTTATGTAATCTGTTGATATCACAGTTGTAGGTTCAAATATCATCAAGTTGTAATAATTCACTGAGGTTATAGAAGGTCACTTATCCAGTGAAAACAAGGAATAATGGCGTTTTCTCCTATTCTGTTTAATTGAAGTTTTAAAATTCGTAGGCGAAATGCTAAAGCTTGTCATTTCTCAAAACGATCTGCCACAACTGAAATATGGCTTCCTGTATAGATTCCTCAATATACCTGGTAATTTCATTTGACGGTAATGATGGATAATGGATAGCAGGGGAATCGGCGACTCATATTTCGTCTTATTTAGGACTCTTCAACTGGATGCAATTGTCCTTCAGTGAGTGTCGAAGGAATGCACGTCCTGGATCCCAATGATAGCCACGATCCACCATCAGCACTTAGACCATTTGTGTCCGATCAATCCAGTCCATTCACTGATATGGAATTGCAAGCTATAATATGGAAACTATACCCTTTATACAACGAGTGTCTGTCGTGAGTCAGTTTTTTAGCGGATAAGGCTTTGGTGTTTGAGATGATAGGTTCTGAATTCAAGTCTCAGTGGGAACTTTACTCATTTGGAGGCAGGTACATCCAGGTGAGTAGTTCCAAAGAAAATAAAACGCACGCCCAAGTTTCCAGTGTTAGCCACTATCTACCATTCATAAGATAAAGTTGTAACAGAAATTGAAGTCTTTCCTAGATCACTCCAACCTACTTGTCATTAAGATAAGCTATTTTAGACTATTGTTTGCCTATTTTGGCACTTTTAATGGTCTAGATTGAATTTTGAAATGACTCCTCTATTCTCCTCGCGTTATTGAGGACTGACAGACAGACTCATCACATGTGATTTGGCATTTTGAGTGATTACTAAAAAGGATCAGTAAGTTGATCACACTTTACGAATTAACATGAAAAGCTGGTTAGAATATTTCGAGAGAAGTCACAAGCACATTTTCGCGATAGGTAAAGACGACTCAATTTAAATATTATCATTGCTGACAGGTATGTGCTCATAACAAACGTTTAAGTTTGAACGAGCTCATTGTATATCTCTTAGAGCTGGTATTGCTAAAAAGTAATGGAATACTTGACCTTAGTACATGGACATACATTTCGAGAATGTTTATCACTAAATATCTTCTACACATGCATGCAAGATCTTTTTAGCTCAACCCAACAAGAGGTTTTTTTGAGATATATCATTGAGCTGATCCTAAGAGAAATAACTTTGTGCATTCCCCATGCATTTTGAGTACTTATGGGGAAGTTTACGCCTGCTATGAATGGCACTGAAGTGTGTATTTTGAAGTGCCTGTCATGAGGAAAGCAGACTACTTGATACCTATATTTCTCCTTACAATTATTATGATCCACTTCATAAGTCGTTCGATTCCATACTTTATTGAATTAAATGGAAGGATCTGAGTAATCATATAGGTTGCTTCACTTACCTGAAGTTCTAATTTGACAGTGACCCGCTAATAGTTGCGTAGAAAGTCTATGTACATAGACATAAACATTAGTTGGTCTTCAGTCAATTTAGCCTTTTCAACAGTTTTCAGACATCTTAATGTTTTTCATAGGTCTCACAAACCACCAATCAACTTTTCATCTTTAACTATATAGACAAGATATAAATTCATCATCATTTTTGAATGCATATGATATCAAGTGACTGAAGTATAGTTGATGGGAAGTAAATCCATCGATGTATAAATAGTTTAGTGTCTAGTGATTAGCATATTCTGATTTCATCATTCTCAATCAACAACAAATCAATCTTTTGAATATGATGAATAACTCAATATATTTTTGTAGTGTACAAGTATCCAAAGTTACAACACAAGTTTCCAATAAAATGAAATCAAAAAATTTCTTTTGTTCGGTAAATCGTACACAAATTGGTTTGTGTTCAAAACAATCGAATAATTCAAATTATGATACAAAAGGTATGCGAGAATATGATGTTGGTGCATGTGATAATTGGCGTATAATCCATCATTGGAGTATGGAAAATTTACCAATGAAACTAAAGTATATTTATGATTCAGACAGTGAATTAGGACGTAAATGTACATTTGAAGTGGATAGTTACAATCCATTATGTAAATATTATACATTGTATTCAGAATATACAAGAAGTGATTATGGACGGTAAGTAATGTTGAATTGTTTATCGTTTGAATATTTGTTCAGTAAATAACTGAATATCTGTGGATTGAATTTCACTTATTCCATTTTATCTTACGTTTTAGTGCATTGATTGCATGAAAGTTGCATCAATCTTAGTGAACTGATTTCTAGTTACATCTGTTAACTGACTGATCAACTGACAAAATCAGTTGTAACAGCTAAAGTGGCCACATCTCACATTAGTACTGAAGGAACAGGTTGATAGAAAAGGAATGAAATCAAAGTAGACAAAGTTGTGTGAGAGGATAAGCAGTTTGTGGATGAAGGTTATTGTGAATATTCAAACCATAGAAGATGTCAAAAAGTGAATGCATCTTCACTGTTATGGCCGATTTTCAGCCTTATCACTGAGAATCGTGAACCACTGATTCCTTTCTTTTCGAGGACCCTACCCAGACAGTCTACACCTCCACACACAACTCATACTGGTGCGACGAGGTAGGTGGCGGATCGACATGTCCAACATATATCCAGGCTACCTGAGTCGCTGAAGGTTCACAACCTCGTCCACTAACTTGCCTGTCTTGCCCAGTACCCTTCATCTGACCTCGGCATCGCTCACACGGTGATCCTATCAAACGGGAGCAATGCTACGAAGACAGCTTTGATCTAAACCCTGCAACGGCTCCATATCGTCTACTTTCAACGTCATGTCTCACACCCGTACAACAAGACAGGACGAACTGTATTATAGTACACTCGACCTCGGATAAGCAGTTGGATATCTCGTCAGTTGGTGCCGCACATGATGCAAGTTGGTAAATGCCAAACGGCCTTTCCGTATTCCCACAATGAGATTTCATCAGCAACCAACCCGTTCGAAATCATACGACTCCCAAAGTTAGTAAAGTGATTTACATGTTCTACCACTTCACTCTCCATCATTAGACATGGAGTACTTGCAGCAGACCGGTATTGGAGTGTCATCTTACGTCTGACAGGCGTCAGCAAAACGCATGCCAAACATACACAGATTTCTGTTTAACGCATCCAGAAGACCTTGCATTTTATCAACGTCTTCACGATGGAGGACAATGTCGCCTGCATACTCCAAGTCAACCAGATGACCTCCATGGAGTAGGTCAATCCCTGTGAAGTCAGACATGCTAAAGGTTATGTCTATTAGTACGTCTATGACGAGGTTGAGTAAGAACGGTGACAATGGGTTTCCTTGGTGAACACCACTAGTTATCATCAGTTCACATGACAGCTCTCCGTAAGCCCTGACACGGCTACGTTAGTTTGAGTAGGGAGATTTGATAAGCACTATGTACTTACTCGATACTCTCTTCATAGTCAGACACTGCCACAACAACTCATCGTCGACTGAGTTAAATTCTGCTGTCAGATCAACAAATATCGCAGGTGTCGGCCGCTGGTAGGTAAGTATGCTTGTGTCCCAGAACCTGTTGGGAAGTGAAAACATGACAGATGCACACTCGTCCAGCTTTGTCTGAAATCTGCCCGGTTTTCTTGAGTTTGCTGTTCTCAAGCTGTAGTTGGGCATCAGATTGTTTTGGAACCTAGGATCTTGGACATAATAATAGTTCGACTGATTCCCAGCATGTGGCTGTCACAGGAAGACTTCTCTCCCTTCTTGTGGACTAAGATGATCAGTGAAGCCAGCCAATCTGACAGTACTACCTCTGATTCCTATACACTACCTAGAACCTCCGTCATTCTTATTAGCAGTTTCTAACCTCCATCCTTCAAAACAAAAAGCGACTTCATCATGTTTTGTGTAGATAAAACTATCATCTGGGATATTTTACGCTGACTTATGGATGACTATGTTGGAGGAAAGCTAAAAAAACGAGTGTGTGCCAAGAAATAGGATGATTTCACTTCATAGGTCTCTCATAGTTCATGTAACCAGCGGTTAGTCTGTCTGAAGTCTTTGAGATGTTTGGAATAAGTGACTGACGACTGCTGATAACACGGGCTGAAAATTGATCACCCTTGTGTATGTGGATGTATTCACATCTCTCTAATGTTAGAAAAATAAATACTTTCACAAATCTTGATTAGTTAATTTTGTCTTGTTTCATACACTTTTGTTTACCATGATATTTTAATGTCCACTTCCTCGATCTATACAGATAACCTCGCCTGGTTAACTAGTTCACTAGTTACTAGCCGGTCCTAAGCCCGGGTAAACAGGGAAGGTTGGGCATAGGGCTTGCAACCCTACACCGGAAAAACCAATCCAACCGCTAAACAAACTTCAAAGCACAAACAAAATATAAAACATAAAATAAACTTGTTCCTCGCTGGGATCGGAGAGACGAAATAACGCCGGTTGGTGAATGCCTTCGGGAAGCCAACTGGCCAATGTGTCTTCTCTCCCTCGATCAAAACGAAAGTAAACGTGGGGACATGGAATGTCCACATCATGTTTGAACCTACCAAGGCTACCCAGATTGCAAACGAGATGAGAAAGTATAGTACTGAAGTACTAGGAATCTGCGAGGAGTCTGCAGATGGAATGGAATGGAATGGAAGTGGACTCTCCAAACTGTCAACTGTAGAGGAGTCAATAATCTACTCCGATACTGTCACCCAGACGACAACCACGAGCACACTGCTGGGTGTTGGAGTGGCTATCATGATGTCCTCTTCAAGAGCATCGAAGGCTCTCTCTCTCTCATGCAGTGGGAACCAATCTCCTCCAGCATCAGGATCATCACAGCCATATTCAATTCAAAAGGAAGGAAAGTCACAATCACACAATGCTACGCTGTACACCTACAAATAATGCAGACTAAGAGAGGAAGAAGGAATTCTACAGACAACTGCAATCAGTACTAGAAAAGACCTCACACCAGATGGCAACATCGAAATTCTAATGGGTGGGATGACGTGAATACCAAACTGCAGACAACACAAGAAGAGAACTGATCATGGGCCGAGAAGCACTCGGGGAAATGAACAAGAATGGAGAACTGTTTGCAGACTTCTGTACAAACACAAGAATATTCAAAAGTGATATGGATTTGATTTCACTAGACACCAGGACACATTAAAAATCAGATCAACTTCATCGCAATGTGAAGAAAGTGAAGACGCAGCCTACTTGACACAAGATCAAGAAGGGAAGCAGATGTAGGTTCACACCACTCACTATCCGGTGCAAGGAACCTGCCTCCAAAATCAAGTTGAAGGCCCTCAATTCAAGGAAGCTGGTGATAGACCACAGTTCAAGTTGAACACCCAGATCAGAAACTGAACTGTAGGACGAAACTACAAAGGGCATCTTCACGTGGTTAGCCATCAGGAAAAGATGGAAGACTTTGAGCAACGTCTCTGAAGGAACCTGTGTAGAAGAACACTGGGACTCTTTGAAAGAAACGTGGAAAGAAACCTGCATAACCGTGTTAGGAAGGAAGAAGGAGCAAGACAAGGAATGGATTTCGACAGACACATGGAAGCTGATTTAGAAAAACACAAACAAACTTATGCTAATTTTGGTGACTACGTTTGCCGCAATAAAATCAGAGAATTCAAACAAGGATATTAACATGAATGAGAGTATGATAATTGGTGACTGACTGGTTCCTGATAGAGTTCTTCTGATCGTTTCGCAATGTGGCCACCAAATTAAGACACTCACTTATGTGATGTACTTTCAAGGGTGTTAGCTGGTTGAAGGCAGTCCGCAGGACGTTCAGCTTAATTAATCATACTACTATTTGAGATGGTCGTCTTCTTTGACAGATTGGTGTTATTGAAACTAGTTGATGATTTAAGGTGAAGCGGATGACGTTGCTTCGAATTATCTTACAAGTCAAGTTTTCATTTCACTTTTAATCATCACTCATTTTCACCGGTGAAGTTCATTTACAGCTATATTATGCTGACTGATTTTATGTCCCATTATCCTCATTATCAGTCAGTCATTCGGTCAGTCTGCCTGCCTATCTATCTATCTGTCTGTTTGTCTATCTGTCTAGCATTAGTCAGACAGAAAAACCAAAGTAGGAACTTTTTCTGAAGTATATCATTCCAAATAGTCAAACTTGAAACCATCATGCAAATTAATAAATTGTAAAATGCTCACTACCGATATGACTGGAAAGAAAATAAAAAGCGGAAGTTCAATATAATGCTTAGGGTTTTGTAGGCGATAAGCTGTGAATACAACAGAACACAAAGTTAGTTGTTTTTGTGAGCAATAATAATTCACTATAGAGACAATGCACCAGTTCTCTACTCTTTTAAAAATCCAGTCTTATGATTATTTCGAGAGTCAGTATCAATGTGGGACCTGGTATTACTGCATAACGGTTCAAGTCACCGCACTTAACATCAGAGTAGAAGGGAGTAAGTTGGACTATAAAGAAATTGAGGGAAATGTAATCAAAAGTATGAAGAGTAAAATGGTAGCGTAATTCGACATTACGATTTAGTATAAGATATTGTGTGGATGTATCCATATGTACCACTGAAATGGAGGCTGAACCATCTGAATCCCCTGGAGTATCCAACCTCTACCGACTTCAGTTATCACAAACGATAACCTACATCCCTCTAAATGACTACTCTTCAGGTATTTGCTTATTTATTACTGATCTAATTTTCTTATGTATCTTACCACGATCGCATTTGATCGATTTTCCCCTTTTTGTTCGTTAGATAAGTGTAACTACCAGAGGCAATGGATTACTGTCCAAAGTTTCATTCACTTACATCTATCATACTTGTTTCAAAACTTGGGTATAATTGTTTGTATCGAATGCGAGGAGTGATATTCACATAAAATTCGATGACACTACCTCTATTCTTACTTAAAATATCCATCATGATATCAATAGCATTCTGGAAAAAACAGAATGGTGATAAAAGATAATCCAAAGTGTTGTAAAATATCTAATGTTTCAACGTCGAGTGTGTATCTGTTCAACGAACTGCTTCCTTCTCATGACTGACTAATTCATGTTTATTCAGGTTATTTAGAGTTCTTCCGTGTAATGTAGACAAATTAAGGGCACCAATATTTCTGTAAGATTAAAAAAAGTGTAGTGTGTTTACCGTCTATGAAAACAAATCAAAAACTTACAGTGTAATTGTTTGAATATATACTCAATACTGTTCAGCATTATTCAAGGCAAGAAAAATCTACTATCCTTTTTCAGAGACAATGCCATCAACTTGCATTGTAATGTTGACTTCCTATAGGGACACTTCCTGATAATATTTCAATTACATCTCATTATTTTACGATACAGTCCACCAGTGGGATCTAGGCTCCAGGTATCAAAGTATTCACATAGTATTGACTCCATACATTCCATCAATTAATATAAGGAGACAAAATTACTCGAGAAGTTTCTTCTTCTCAGACAAAAAAAACTATTTTTGTGAAGTTGAATACGATTACTTTACTCGTTCTAACATCTTCAAGTTTTGTCTACCGGTGTTAGTGAGTCACCTTATCGACTCTCACTGGGCAGGTAGGCTATGCAACAGTCTACTTCAATGTAGTTCAAAGTATTAACACATGTTACTGAAGACAAGTGACAGAAGCCAGGTTGCTGCTTTATGATCACAAATACGTTAGTCCTTTTGATAACTGTGTGATTGGCGCGTAGCTTAGAGGTTGAGATCTCAGCAACGATTGTCAGTTAGTCGATGATAATTGCTGGTCACTGAGTTAAATTACCTACTGTGAGTTGGAAAAAGAATGTCCTGGGAGAAAGCGAAGACCACTTCCAGTGTATGCAGTCAATGATTAGTCATCTAGATTATGTACACAACTACAGACTACACATCTAACGTTTACAAGAGTCAATGTCTGAAGACGTTCATTGATCACTTCTCACTTTTAATCTCACTGTGATAGGTAGATTCATTCATTGTTTCCCGAGCAATACAATTATTGCATAACTCCTATTTTCATCACATCCTTACTCAATAAACACAATTTCATCAACATACTATTTGCAAATCACTTTCAAATTTCCAGATTAAATAATTTCGCATTTGACATAGAGAATTGTCGTTTCGCATGTGCTATACACATTCAGTGTAAAGCTATTGAATTCATTGTTGGTGTTCATTGTATACTTGCGTTTCACTTCGATGAATCGGTTCTTCAACGATCCATTGGGACTGTGATTCAACTGAAACCGAATGAATGTCATCCTGATATTAAAGATGAACAGATTTATCCATATACTAGTGCTGTATCTATTCTACGTGTTTAATATTGTATAAACAATTTGCATTCAGAGTTGTTTTTATCACTATTAACATTCCCGTAGTTATTATATTAATAGGTAACTGGTCTTATTTAACACATTTGAAAACATTCCTTTAAAAAGAGTAAAGATTTAGAAAACATTCCTATTCTCTACTTACATAAAGAATTTTCCCAGGAATGTGAAGATCATGCATTCAAACAAACCTTCAATAATTCAATGCTGAACGCTTAAGTTTCGCGTAAAACTCTGGAGTAGAAACACTTAATTTGTGTTAAATATGATACTGTATCACGCAAAAACAATGTGGAGAATATTCAGAATAAAAACGTTAAATAACAAGGTCTCTAGATATGCATTACAATATCTAAAGCACCGACAGAAGTGTTTTGATAATAAAATAAACAGCTGAAGGCTGTGTGTTAAAGCTCAAATCATAGCAATAATGAAAGAAATACGAAATAGCAAAATAAACGAGGAAGGGATAAAGACAAAAAACGGTTAACGGATAGTGTTGAATATGTGAAAGAAGCTGAATCAGAAAAAATTCATTCACCAAACGCTGAAGGAAGCTAACACGTCGTAATGTTACTGTAGTAAATGAAAAAGATTTTATGGAAACTTAATATGCAGCACGTACGTTTTACGACTGATTATTACTAAATAGTGTAAATTGGAAAGCAGAAAAGACACAAAGATGTCTCTAGATATACACTAATAGATATAATTTCATTTTAATTTTTATTAAGAAGTTACGAAGTAATCAGTTTGATATTGTTACAACATACTGGTAATTAGGTAACTTAATCATGTCCATTTCTCTTACCGAAATCAATGCTACTGCTGACATTATTAAATGCAACCGTTAGTTCATCATCATTACTCAGAGTTTCATTTAGCATGGTGATGAAGCCTTCAGAGTTTAACACTGGTGATGGGGATAATGTCTACCATTCATAATATTTGCTATATTATTTCTCCCTTGGGTTCCTAGTGAAACATAGCGGTTCAGTTGCACGTTTCCATTTCACTCTCTTCTCTCCAGTCTCTTCAACCTGGCTCTACGACTACCCACAATCTTTCATTTCTTCCTCACTCAACCTCCTCCATGTCACCCTCGCCTCGGACCCCCAACTCGTCGTTTCCTCTTTGGATTCCACTAGAGGTCCTGGCATGTGATGCACCAAAATGGTCTTCCCAGTGTGTGTTCAATCCATCCATCCACTTTCTTCTGCATATTTACTGGGCGATAGGTTGTTGGTTGGTTCGTTGCCAGCCAACCAGCCAGAGATCCTTGTTACTTATTGTCATTATTCTTGCCATCCGATCGATGTTCAGTATACAGTGAGCGTAGACGGCAGCTGTCTACAGTTTGTTGAAAATGGTTTTCGTGATGCGCCAAGTCTCTCAACCATCACATAGAAGCATTGAGTTACTTGACTGACATCAGTGTTGAAATCCGGATGTAGTTCACTCCTTATGCTGAGTGGAGTGAAGTACAGTGCAGCAGATCTCCACACTGATGATTTCGGGTTAATGAAGGTCTGTCTCACTGTCTTTCCCTATGCTGGCTTTCATGTCTTCATCTGCGCCGCCTGTAGTTGAAACGATACTACCTAGGCAGGTAGGTGAAAGAGACGACTTCCTTTAGATTTCTCCCGTTTATGATGATTGCTGATTCTTGCTGTTGTTGTTCTTGGTGGTGGTTGAGTATCTTCATCACCTCTGTCTTCTCTACGTTCACCTGAAGGAAGTCTCATCTTCACTGACCTGACTCTTCTGCAAACTTGTTGGTTTACGTCTGTACATCTTCGAGTTTGTGCTACAAGACATTCGACAGGCATGAATCATCATCGGCAAAATCCAAATTTCCTAGACTCTTTTCATCGGTCAAACAGCATATGCCCACCTTTTCGCTCGTCACAGATTGTTGAATGATCCAGTTCAGTCCAGTCGACCACCATCAGGAAGATCATCAGTGATAGTAGGCAACTTACGATTTGTAATAAGCACTGCATAATTCGGGATGTGAATAAGAAGACAGGATCTCTCTATACAGTACTATAATAAATTTGATTGTTTGTTTTATATGTTGAAAATATACAATTTCAAATGTATCATCAAGTCCCTGATAAATCATAAGTCCCAACCTATTCTTGGTTTAGTTTCACTGTCATTTTCTTAAATGTGTACAACGGTGTCGATTTAGTTTGGATATCAATCACGCCAACTGAGCAAAAGGCTGAATTACAGAATAGTTGGTGATTGATTATCAAACGACGTTAGTTCTACATGTACTTCGAATAATTTATGAAGCTGAAGTAAAATTGAAGTAAAACTACAGCAGATCATAAATCTCTACAGACCCTACTAACAATGTCAAAACTGCATAATTCAGTTAATGACAGCGAATCTATTTCACTAAAATTAATGACTCGTATACCAGTAAGTGACAGACAACTGTTGAGTAAGCCAGATTTTCATCCTAATTCGGATTGAGGATAGGAAACAACTGAAAGGTTAGGAATCACATGTCACTGTGTAATGAAAGAGGTGTGATTTACAAAAGTCTTGGGAAAATTATTAGATTTCAATGTTTTACTTTACTCTGGATCCCGAAAAATTCAAGAAAACGCCGGTTAATTTAGTCGTCAGCAGGTGATTTTCATTTTTTAGATTTAATATCATGGAAGATTTAAGAAGGTTTAAAATCTGATTATCTGTAGCTGCAAATAACATTCTTGTGATCAGTTCATTAGGCTGTCAGTTACTGTGTAAAGTTGAGATCTATTACAAGCATATAGATTCATTTGCTCCTAGAATTGGTTGAATGATTATTTTCCATTTCGAGGTTTTGTGTTATCACTTGGGTGCTGACAGAGTTGTGTCAGGTGTTTGACCACCGTTGCCTTCGTAGTATAGGACGTATTCTGTGGCGTCACCATGTAAGTAATGCAGAAGTCAGGTGTAGAGTTTTGGGGAGAAGAGGTAAGTCAGTTGACGAGGTTGTGAACCTTCATCCACTGAGATGGTTGGGACACGTACTACGTATGCCCAGTCACCGATTGCCTTGTCACACAATGTAGGCTGAGGTGGGTCCAGACTGGGAAAAGGCCCAAGGTGGCCAGACTAAAACATGGCCGCACCAATGTATGAAGTCTCTGACTGTTGGTTTAAGCCATGTAGGACGATGCAGACTTGGTGGTTGGGGTCGGCGGGACAAGAGGAACCAGTGGTTGGAGACTCTACGTGATATGGCTCAGAACCCACGTTAGTGGTGCAGATGTATACACATTATCCTCATCTTAACAACGCTATACCGAATCTCACCATTTTATCACTCCTCTTTCTCTTCTTCTCGTACTTTATATTTCTTTTGACTGCATTCACTTATCTTCATCCTTCACCTCACTACCTTTTTACTTGATGTGCTGATATGAGGTGTGGCAACCCGGACCGTTACGCAGTAATGCCTGGTCCTATGTTGATAAGATGATGATGTGTTATCACTGAACTTCAAAACTACTAGGTAATGATATAGTTTACATGAACACATAGCTACCTTTAATGGAAATGGTTGTCATTTGCAGATAATTATCATCATGGAGCAATAAAAGTAGAAAGCCTTCGAAAACGTTTGATGAAAAACTTCAATTTATTGCAAAACGATTATCAGACATATAAGTGTATCCTGCTTTGTTGAAACCTGACTATTTTATCAAATTTTGAATCAGATGAAATCGAAAAAGTTATGATTTGTCTTAACGAGTAGTTATATGTTTATTCGCCCAAGGAGCTTGATTTTTTTCTCTGAAACTTATTGACATTCGATTTCGGTTCGGGAGTCAATTGAGTCACAGAGTTAACCAATAACAAAATGAGCACATTTGTCATAGATAACTAACTGCGAAGTATTCCTCTAACTTCTAAGTTCCCAACATCATGTTGCATACCTTGAACACTTGATTACTTCATTCATACTAGTGACTTTACTGTTAATTGCATTTTCGTTTAATATTTTTGTTAGTTTTATGCAGTCTGTAGCAACATTGTTATCATAATAGATGAGGTGTGACAGCATCTCTCTCTCTCGCTCTCTCATCATTTCACATGCATATACCAATAAATAAATAATGTTATGAATCAAGTGAAGGATTCTGTTACAGCGATCTTTACCATCAGTCGAGTTAATGTTTGACAAAATGATATACAAAGAGATGCGAAAGCAAAATACTTTAAAATGAAGTTTCTACAGACAGAGTAGAACAGGTATACATTTATCGGATAATTACAATTATGTATACTTTGTGTCTTGTACAGAGAGCCAACTCATTATAGATCGATTTGTAGTGAATACTTATCCCCAGTGAAGTAGAATAAGTAATTCCAACGATTGGTGTGATGATAGATAGTAGTTTTGCTTGAAGTGTTGCTAAAATTCAATGAAATCATTGTGTATAAATATTCATTACAAATACTCTAATAATAATAATAATAATAATAATGGATTGATTGACTATATTGTAAACTGTAGCTTGATACAAGTAGAATAAGTTTGGTTAAATGTCAAGCGGTTATATGGTTAGATAACGGTGAAGGTAGACAGGTGTACAGTTTATGAATAGGCAAGTAAATATGGAGATATTTTTGATACTGAGGAGTGAATTGAGACATACTTGTTGAAAGTTGGTGGTAAGGAAGTTCGGTGATAAGAATAAGAACTAGCAGTAAATGTGATCTCAGTTATGGAAAACATTCCAACTGGTACTTATGCCTAAATCGTAATTTATTCATCCAATTTTTTCTTTTATGTTGATCAGTAGTCAAGCATATTAAAGAAAAACACAACACAGAAATATAAAACTCACATCTTTGATGTTTTAGTTTGTCTTGGTCATGTGATATGTGTTGATTTGTGAAATGTCTATCAAGTTTGGAGAGGAGTATTGTCCGATGAATAACTAAGAGTATTTACTCATCGTATATTGTGTATTCCAAATGTAACGTCAACAGAATGGATCATGTGACATGTCCTGAACTACTAATTCTGATGTAAAAGGGAGAACATTTAAACGTATTCAGTAAGCGAGGATGGTTAGCCTCTGATCACACACCTCTATGTCCTTACTCACAACCAATTTTTTCCAAGTACCAATACTTTATTCTCGCTTATTTTTCTGTGTAAGTTTCTTTTTAAGATATTCAGAACAAAAGTTAGTCAGCGACTATAGCCAAACGCTGGAGTTACACGTTAATCTAATTTGTCTGAAATATGTTTCTTTATGCATAAAAATAATCAACAGATTTAACAGTCAAGTTGAGGATGCAGTAACATTAAACGAAACCATGACTTATACTACCTAATAATACTTAGTAGTATGAAACTAAAGGTATAAAAAAGGATAGGAATTCACCGTAAATAGTGCAAGTACAGTTATGGTGGGAAAGGAATTAACACTCCATATATCCAGTTTCTGAATAAATTTCAGTTTCACCTAGCATTCATTCTAAAATACGGTGAATCTAACTAATTTCTAGATTGTTGAGCTGGCGTTGTACCTCTTGGTGAAGGTTGGTAGGAAATATCTGTCATTATCTAGGAGGCAGGGAAGCCTAAGCTATTTATTACTCCAGTTATGGATGTTCAAGTTAAAGTGTTCAAATCATCAAACTGAAAACTTCTATTTATCTGCATAGATTTGCTCACGCTGTCATCCTTGTAGGTATTTTACACTTCAAGTGTTCTGTACATAAGTCATCTCTATGGAAAAGACACAATTCATAAGCGGCGCTACTGAAATGCAGCATGACTTAAATCAATATTCCTTTGTTGCATATCTTGCCTCTTTAAATCGTCTTGAACCAAATATCTTTATGCATGAAACTGACTGACGTTTCATTGGACGATCTGCTCCTCAGCGTATTGGTTGGTATTCAATCAGTAACATAATCTCTAATGACATATGTGAGACGAAAAAGTTCAATAAAACATACACATAGTGAAGACTGGTTAGCACAAAGAGATATACACTGGAAGTCAAACAATTTTCCAAGTTTGAAATGACACTTAACTCAGACAACCAGGTCACACATTTCACTGTCCTAATGACAGTTATCCAGAATGATCAGAGTTGTACTGTCTGTCATGGTGTTTATCATTTACTTGATTGATATTAGGCTTTAGAATATTTCGCCACCGACAAAAGTCTGCTGAAGTAATAATTAAAACTAGTAGCAACAGACCATTGTATTGTTATAGTTTCAAACTTCCCAGTTGGACACTGACTTTCATGAGTTGCTTCCTGTATATATCAGTCTTTCTTCTGATTGTTAATGATCTCAATGAACTGTTGTTTGGTCAAAGAACGAGTATACAGCACTGCAATCCGTTTTGTCCTTTTTTACAACTGTGAGATAAGGCTGTTAAAAGTAGAAGACATAAAGCTATTACAGGGTTTTGACCACAGATGTCTTCGTAGCACTGCTCGCGTTTGGTGAAAACATCGTGTGAGTAACGTTGAAGTCAGGCGAAGGGTACTAAGCAAGACAGCCAAGTCGAATGATGAGGTTGTGAACCTCCATCAGCTGAGGTGACTTGAAAATGTAATAGGCATGTAGAGTCACCACCTAACTAGATGCGCCAAGTTGGATTAAGTTGGAAGAGGGTTTGGAGTACCCAGACCAAGACGTGGCATCAGTCGATGAAGTCCCTGACAGTTGGTCTGAGCCATGTGAGGAGGCACAGACTACCTGGGTTTCTGAGATGATAGGAATCAGTAGTTGAGAACTCTTGGTAACATGGCTGAAAATCGGTTACAATAGTGCAGACGTATTCACTCCTTGACGTCTTTTAAAGATTTAATATTCGCACTTACCGTTATCTTTAAGATTGTTAATTCTTTCACACTAATTTGTCTGCTCTGATCCTATCCACCCGTTTTTCTGTGCACAACTGTTAGGTGTGGCAACTTGAGTTTATGCAACTGTGTACGAGGTTCTACGTTGATTTTGTCAGTCAGTCACTGTTGTTTAATAAGGTTGACACTTTCATCTTCTATGCTCAATCTTTCATTTCAAATACAGTTGCCTCTCCCAAGTATGATATATTACTTGCGTGTGTGGGAATATCACTAGTGAATAAAAGGCTTAAGAATATATGCAGATGATTTGGCTGAAACTGCATGGTCAATCACCCTAACTATCCAGGACTGGCAGACATGGTTAACTCTTCACAGAAGTCAGAACTCAGTAATGCACGAAATGCTGATACATGAATCGAAGTTTAACCCATTCTAGGGGTTATATAAGATTATTTACACTGGACCGATCTTGGCTAAAAGTTAAATCCCATCACATGTAGAAATAAGGAAAAAAAACTTTCTTGTTCATAAACAGATAGGAATCAATTACATTTATTTGAGGAAATTAACGAATTTACATAAAAAGATTGATAGCTTCAGGACGTACACTGACTTCTATAGGACGAGCTTCAAAATAATCATTATCAATCCAATAAAACTCATTCTGAAAAAAAAAACGAAATTCCAAATTATAGTCAAACTCTGACAAAAAAGAGCTAATTATGATAAAAACTTCGAAACGATCATACATATGCATCGTTTCCCGCAAAAGTATATTCTTTTAAGTACCACGAACTGAAATAATTAACTAAATATATAAGAAAAATGATTCACTTCATTTATTTTCAAGGATACTCGTTACCATTAATCATCATTACTTATGACTAATAACTAGCTGAATACAACTGAAAAACCTTTCTGAAATAGTGTCAAAAGTCGACGTAATGTTTACTTATATATAAGATACATAATTATATTACATTGAATATCAACATAAATGCAGTTCAGTACCGCCTGATCATCTCATGCTTGAAATCGACTAGCTAAAACCAAGAAGTAAACCTGAACTTTATATATATATATATATATATATATATATATATATATATATATATATATATATATTTATATATATATAATTGCCTAAACATATCTCTCAAGAAGAAGAAACGAAATTTGATAAAGCCTGTCAATTGTAGAATAAGAATCTAGAATGTACGATTTAAGATGAACTGATGACTTCATTCAACACACTAATTAAAAACGGTTGTCTTGATAAATTCATAAAGAAACATTTATTACAAGGGAAGAAAGAAAAGGTAATCCTACTGCTAGGAGAATACTCCATATCTATGCAAGTACAATTACGAGGTAATCTGCTCATTGAGATATTAATTCGTAAACTAGATGAATCGACTTTTATTGCTGGAAAATTAGTTTTCCAAAAGCTCAGTGGTGAAATCTAGACTGAAAGATAAATTTTCCTTGAGGTACTACTTGTAATTCCCCGTTGTTTCACTGAATTAAGTTGTCCGACCTCCGTTGGTATATGCGATCCTATGCGGATGCCTCAATATTTTATTGCGTGAATATTTATCACGGTAATCTATATGGTTTTGGTTAGCAGAACAATTCAGGACGCGCGCTTGGTCCTATTTAGGACTCTTCAGCTGGATGTACTTGCGCCCGTGTGGTGGTGTTACCACTGAAATTCGAACCTCGTACGCGTCGCTTCAAACGCCAAAAGATTATCGACTAAGCCACAAAAAGTTATAACTTATACCCGTTGTGCCTCAGTGACCTAGTGGATAACGCTGTGGAGTTTCAAGCGATGGGTATGAGGTTTGAGTCTCAGTGGAAACAACAATACTCACTGGGGTACAGGTGTACCCAGCTGACGAGTCCCAAGTAGAACGAAACGCGAATTCTGAACTCTTCTGCTAGCCGCAACCAAGTAAATTGAAAGATGAATTGCCTCGACTGGGCACTTCTTGGTGTAAGATAAATCACTACAGGTACTTAGGAGATATAGAAAAATCAGTCAATCGGAAACATAGACCTGATTAATCCTGGCTTATTTGTTTTGACAATGGGCTTTCACAAGTTTATCTCTGCTTCACCCAATGAAGTTTTCGCACAACAAATGTGATACAACTACTAACTACGAGTTTTATGGAGAACTGATTGCTTTGAAAAGGATTTTCGTCACGAATTGACATCCAGAGAATTAATGGAATACAGCTGTTTCATCCTAGCTTGCATCTCTTCAAGTGCAAACCCATAAGGGATTGGACCCGAGACTATCAGGTCTTGTGATGAATACTACGTTACCATTCGCAGGTTTTCAATGGTTTTGGGGTTGATGTCGATCTGCAATGACGACCCATTTAAAAATAATGTCTTATTTCTCAATGAATAAATCCGTATGCGGCTGTTGAGTTGTATCAGTATAAGACACCCCTTAGTGCCCACGTTGCAAGTAAATTAGCATTTTTGATGTAATCATTTAAATCGATCAAGTATAAACTATATAATAAGATCAACCCAGATAACAATCTTTAGAATCAAACACTTACTAGTAGGGTTAAAACTTGAATATCCATAAAGAATAAAGAAATAACGACACTCTTCGTAACAATAAACACATATTCCACTTTTTACACACCTTATAAGTTCCAATACTGACTAGTTACCAAATAAAACTAAGTAACCCTACAGTTAACAGATAAATAATAGTAGTATGAGATCCTGCCATAGCATTTCTAGTACGAAAAAAAAGTACCAAGAACGTTAATGCATAAACGAAGCTCACTTCAGATTCGATAGGAAACAAACACACTTTATCACAAAGGACTGTTTGGCTGCCGGAATTAAATGTATAGGGTTGAGAAAGTAACCATGAATGAAACTGACGAATATGATCCCAGTAGCTGGTAGGACGGTGATAAACATCTAGACGGATATGATCCTGTAAAAAAAAAAATACAAGAATGACCAATTAGCGCAACAGGATAGGATTATATATACTACTAAGTGATAATTTGTTTCCAAGTACTTAATAACAAATTATATGTCTGTGTCCGAGTAGGACGTGGGTTCTAATAATAAGTTCACGTAAAACATGTATAGAATCCGCATAAAATCTATAATACTCATCAAAGAAAAGTGATGAAACTACAAAAATCATCTCGACATTGTTATACAATACAATGGAAGCTATCGAAAATATTAAATTGAGAGAAGTTAGTGAGTGATATGCCAAACAAAGAGCATCTCTACAACAAGCAACTCCACATTGGAGTCGTACGAAGAATACTTTAGATAAACATAAGACAAAGAAAAATTGACTCGGACAGTTTAATTGCTATATCTATCAGCAAAAATTAGAGGTTTCTTTCCTCGTACTGCTAAGAAATGTAGTTACTGGCACTAAATACATTAACGTACCAAGCTATATGTGGTTCTGAAAAGCCGCTATTTGGAAGAACTACTCATAAAACCTAATACTATTTTTAGCATGAATAAAACTCATATTACTTCACTTTGGCAAAGCGTTTTTAGCATGCCTAAATCTTAGAAAAAAACTCTTGTTTCTATTTAACTTCGTTATAGACATACGTCTGATTTCGCAGGAATTGACCTACTACCTACGGGTCATCTGGTTGATTTGGAGTATGCAGATGACATTGTCCTCCATCGCAGAGATGCTGACAAAATGCAAAGTTTTCTGGACTTGTTGACCAGAAATCTGAGTATACTTGGCATGCGTTTCACTGGCACCTGTCAAATGTAGGATGATGCTCCAGGACTGGTCTGTTAGAAGTACTCTCAGTTTAATGATATAAAGTTGCACCAGGTGGAACGGGTTGCTTGCTGATAAAATCCCAGCTCGGATACAGAAGGCCCGTTTGGCATATGCCATCCTGCGTTATCTGTGGCGCCATGCAGATATCCATCTACCTGTTGGAAAATTGAGTATGCTGCACTGTAGCCAGTTCTGTGCTGTTGTATGATTGCCAGACATGGTCGTTGAAGGTAGACGTGAAAAGATTGCAGGTTTCCGACGATTTGTTTCTTCGTAGCATTGCTTGTGCACGGTCGAATCACCGTGTGACCAAAGTTGAAGTCAGCTGAAAAAATACTAGACAAAACAGACAAGTCGATTGATGAGGTTGTCAACCTTAGTCGACTAAGATAGTCTGGACATGGACTGTGCATATCGAGCCACAGCCAACCTCTAGGCTCCATGTTAGGGCAAGTTGGATCAGGATGGAAGACGGTTCAGGCTGACCAGAGGAAGATATGGCACGTCAATGAAATCTCTAACTGTTGGTTTAAGTGGTGTTAATCTGAGTCGTAGACTGCTTGGTTTGGGCCCCCGAGCCGAAAGAAATCAGTGGTTGAGGATTTTTGCTGATACGGTTGAAAACCAGACACATAGGGGAAGATGTATTCACTCCTTGATATCTTCTAAAGCTTGAATATTCGCATAAAGCTTGATCTTGAGATTGTTTATTTTCTCACAGTACTTTGTCTACTTTTTATCACTCCTATCCTCTTTTTTTGTACTACTGTGAAGTGCGGTAACTTCAGCCGATGCATCTGTGAGAGTGATTGTGCGTTGATTTTTTCAGTCAGTGTGTCAGTATACTGTTGCAGAGTAAGAGTAAGGCACAAACTAAATGCATTGTTATTTCTATCGAGAAATTATTAAGCAATTACATAATCTCAGTAAAACAAAACAAAAGCGTTTGGTGTTATTTCACTTGACAGGACTTTCATCAGTTGTACACAACCTGAATGAATAATTGTCGCTAAAGAAAGTTTTAAACATACTTCACATAAAAGATTTTGAGATATCGGTCAGTAACTTTAATGATTCAGAAAACAATAAAACTTCACAACATAAAAAATGAAGTTAGAATTATAAAATCCTAAGTTTAAATTTTCACTAAACAGAGAGGGAAATGATTTAAAATGAGTGAAATAAGATTAAGTATTAGTAGATGGTAGATAGGTTAAGCCATCCCACGACAAATATTGTCAAAATAAATGAAAATAGAGCGAAATAGGTAAATGATGGTAATCATTACAAGAAAAATAACAATAACAAACATTAGTTACAAAGAATTAGAGTGAAGGTGATAACAAAATTCAGATGTTAACATTTTGTTTTGATACTTGTGATTTCTCGCTGCTATACTGGGTAGAATTGCTCAACTTCTAATGACAAATGGACTCCTAAGTGGATGCCTCAATACTCCTGGATATTCACGGTGTTGTACTGTTCTGTTTATGAACCTTAACAGCCTCTTTTCAAGTATATCTGCTGCAGTATCTCTCATGCATTCAAGGTTAAACAGTTAAATCTTTTTCACAGTCGTATGCACGGATTGTATGGCATTTTTCTGCTTCATATTCTTTTCCATAAACTTCAGTGGGTATTCATTTTTCATTAAGATTACTCACATGTTTCCTAGTTCACCTTTGATGGTATCCTCCGTACATATTCTTCGCATTCTTGAAGAGAGTGAATTCATAAGATTCCTCTTTCTGCTTAAGAGCACAAAGCTTTAAAAATTGATAAACTACCCACTCTAAGTCAGCTTCCTGTAAATAGATCTCTGAACTAAATTTCCATCTTTTCTTTGCAGTTGGACATCAAGGAAGTGCAATTTCGAGTTCGACTTTGATTCTAGAATGAATTTAATAAAAGGATGAGCACTATTGAAGATTTGAAACAGATTTTCCAGATTCGTATTCTGGTCACGAATAATAAAGGTATCGTGTCTTCCAGGATTGTAAACAGCAGTCAGCTAGCAGGGGTTCAAGAGGCGATCCCACTGCCATCTCATCTATCTTTCTTTAGACTTCGTTGTTAAGTCTGAAGGATGCGTTGAAAGTACATCTAAGAAGTTCCTTTAGACAGTGATATGGGACACCAAGGTTTAATTTATGTGACTGAATGCAGCTACACAGAAAATAAATGGTTTCCGTTAGTGAGACATTTGTAAGTAGCAAGATGACATCCAGAGAAAACATCTCTACTGAGAGATTAACATTTTCGATAATATCAACAATGTGGAATGCCTCACACAGGCTACGTCTCAAAACTTCATTCTTCAATGCATCTAGTATCTTGAAGAGACATTATGTAACTCAGTTAGTTTTTAACATTTTATTTATGCCTTGGGCTACTAATCGAACATAGGGCTTCAGTAGCACGCCTCCATTTCACTTTTCTCTGAAATCTTTCGAACCTGTCTCCACGACTGCCCAGAAGCTCTCATTTCTTCCTCGCATGATCTCCTCCATGTCACCCTCGCCTCCAAAGCCCAACTCGTCGCTTCCCATCTGGGTCCCACTCGAGATCATGGCCTGGCGCGTGATGTCCCAATCACCCTTCTCAGTGTATGCCCAATCTAGTCCATCTCCACTTCCTTCCAGGGCATATTTGTTGAGTGATAGCTTCTTGGTTGGTTCATTACCAGCCAGAGTGATTTCCTTGTTGCTTATTCTTACTATTCTGGCCATCTAATCTTCAGCATCGAGCCAGCGTAGGCAGTTGTTGATGAACGTCTGTAATTTGTTGGAAATGCCTTTCGTAACGCGCCAAGTCTCTGAACCATACAGAAGCACTGACTTGACTGACGTTGATGTTGAAAATCCGGATGTTGTTCCACATGCTGAGTGGAGTGCAGAAGATCTCTACACTGGTTTCAGGCTAATGAACACCTGTCTTGCAGTCTTTCCGATTCTGACTTTGACATCCTCGTCTGTGCCACCTGTAGTTGAAACAGTGCTGCCTTGCCTGGATGGGTGAAAGAGACTACTTTCTTTAAGTTTCTCCCGTTGATGGTGATTGGTTGTTGTTGTTGTTGTTGTTGGTGGTGGTGGTCGGGTATCTTCATCACCTCTGTTTTTTCTACATTCACCTAAAGTCCTGTCTTCGCTGCCCCGCCTCTTCTGCCAACTCGTTAGTTTTCGCCTGTACATCTTCAAGTTTGTGTGACATTAAACATAAGTCATCGGCGAAATCCAAGTCTACTAGGTTCTTTTCCGCAGTCCAGGCAGCGTATCCCCCTCTTCTCATAGCTCCCCACTGTTTGCTGCATGATCCAGTCAACCACAATCAGGAAGATCATCGGTGATAGTAGTAGACAGCCTTGTTTCACTCCTGTCTTCACTTCACCGCAAAGGCATCACTGAGCTTCCCATTGTGAATTACTTGGCATGTGGCATGCGTCTTTATATAGTTGTTGAATGAGGCGGATAAAGGTTTGCGGTATTCCGTAGTATTGAAGCAGCAGCTGCCAAATTACCTCTCGGTTGACGCTGTCAAAGGCCTTCTCAAAGTCGATGAAGTTGAGGTGGAGTTTAGTTGACTGCCATTCTATACTCTATTCTGTGATGATGCGAAGCGTAGCAATTTGGTCCGCACATGATTTGTACTTCCTGAATCCAGTCAGCCAGTCAGCCAGCCTGTTCCGGTCGTAGTTTTGAATCCAGTGCATCCTTTAGTCTCTCCAAGATGATGCAGCTTAATATTTTGCTTGCTCTGGGTGGACAGGAACGTGATTCCGCGCCACTTCTTGCAAACACTCAGGTTTCCCTTCTTCGGGAGTTTGACAAGGTAGCCCTTCTTCCAAACAGTAGTCAGGTACCTTCCCTTCCTTCCACATCTTCTGCAAAGTGGTGTGAGCATGTCCACTGTTATCTCTGCGTCTGTTTTCAGTGCTTCTGATGGGATTCCATCTGGTCCTGCTGCTTTCCTACATTTCAGTTGCATTATGGCCCTCAGGACTTCTACTTTTGTCGTAGGATTCATGTTCACTTGTAGTTCTGTGGCTGGCATGCCGGTGGTATTTCTGGACGAAGTGCAGGTGGTGGTCGGTTCAAGAGCTTTTTGAAGTGGTCAGCATATCGGTTCCTTCGTTTCTCTCTTCTCAGCTTATTTTATTTCCTTCA